TTGAACTGCTGATTTTGTGATTAGCAGTCCAGTGCTTATCCTACAGTGCCACACCAGGATGCTAAAACTGATGAAGATCAAGGACTACAGCTTTCAGTATGAATTGCACCTAAATGTAAAGAAAACGAAAATCCTCACAAATGGGCCAATAGCATCATGGTAAATGGAGAAAAGTTGTCAAAACTTCATTTTGCTTGGATACACAATGAACACTCAAGGACACTGTAGTCAAGACATCAAACAACTTACTGCATTGGGCAAATCTGCTACAAGAGACATCATTAAAGTGTTAAAGAACAGAGATGTCAGTTTGAGGACTAAGGTGCTTCCGACTCAAGCCTTGGTGTTTTAAAATGCCTTACATGTCAGGAGAGCTGGTGTGGTGCTATCAGCTAACCCTGGACTGCTAATCTCAAGGTAGGCGGTTCAAACCCACCTGCCACTCCTCAGAAACCCTCTACAGGGTAGCTGTGAGTTGGAACTGACTCGATGGCACTTAACAACAACGAACACACACGTGAAAGTTGGACACTGAATAAAGAAGAATGTATAAATATCTATGCATTTGAATAAGGGTGTTGGTGAACAGTATTGAAAGTGCCTTGAACTGCCAGAAGAACAAACTAGTCTATCTTGGAAGAAGTGCAGCCAGAATTGAAGATGACTAGATTTTGTCTCTCATATTCTGGACATTTTAGCAGGAGGGATCAGTCCCTGGAGAAGGACATTATGTAGTTTTTGTTCTTCATTCCCAAACATTTTAAGTTCTTTTCACTTCCAGCAAGCAGTGTCTTGTCATCTGCATGTAACAGTGTCGTGTCATCTGCATGTAATGAGTCTTCCTCCAGTCTTGATGCCATGTTCTTCTTCATATAATCCAACCTCTCAGATTATTTGCTCAGCATACAGGTTGAATAAATATAATGAAAAGATTTAACCTTGGCTCACACCTTTCCTGATTTTAAGCCATTCAGTATCCCTTTGTCCTATTTGAATGACTATTTCTTGGTCTATGTACAAGTTCCTCATGAGCACAGTTAAGTGTTCTGGAATATCCATTCTTCACAATGCTATGCATATAGTTTGTTATGATCCACACATAGTTAATAAAGCACAAGTCAGCATCTATTTGGAGTTCTGGGTGGCACTACAGGATAATGCCCTGGGCCGCAAGATCAGTTTGAACCTCAAGATCAGCAGTTTAATCTCAACAACCACTCCCCGAAAACACTATACAGATTTACTGTGAGTCTGAACTGACTTGACAACACTTAACAACAACAACAGCAAACATTTATCTAGTAGTCTCTTTTTAGCCAACATACATGTGATGTCAGCAATAATATCCCTCATTTTGTGTCTTCTTCTGAATCCAGCTTGAATTTCTGGAAACTCCCTATTGCTGTACTACTGCAGCAAGTATTTTAAAATTATATTCAGCAAAATTTTACTTGCATGTGGTAATAATAATTGTTTGATGATTTCTGCATTCAGTTGGGTCACCTTTCTTTGGGATGGGCATAGACATGGATCTCTTTCAATTAATTGGCCAGACAGCTGTCTTCCAAATTTCATGGCCTAGGCAAGTGTGTGCCTCCAGTGCTTCATCAGTTTGTGGAAACATTTCGATTTATAGTTCATCAATTCCTGGACCCTTGTTTTTTGCTAGTGCTTTCAGTGAACCTTCGACTTCTTCAATACTATTGGTTCTTGATCATCTGCTGCCTCTTGAAATGGTTGATCATTAACAAATTCTTTTTGGTTCAGTTACTTTTTGTATTCCTTTGATGTTATTTTGTTGCTTAATATTTTGCCCATTGTTGTTGTTAAGTGCTGTGGACTTGTTTCCAGCTCATAGTGACCCTGTATATGGTTCCTGAGGAGCAGCTGGTGAGTTTAACTTGTGGTTCAAATCAGTCTTGCGATCTGGTGCTTATTCTATAGTACCACACCATACTCCATTACCTGTGGTTGTTGTTGTTAAGTGCTGTCGAGTCGACCCATAGTGACCCTGTATAGGATTTCCAAGGAGCCCCTGGTGAGCTTGAACCACTGACCTTGCAGTTCAAATGACTTCCATTGCTTATAGATCCTTAAATACTGCAATACGACGCTTCAATTTTTTCTTCAGTTGTTTCCGCTTGGAAAATGCTGAGCATGTTCTTCTCTTTTAGTTTATAATCCTCTGTCTTCTCAATCTGCACTTTGAAATTTTCTCTTTGGCTCTTTTACTTCCTCTTCTGGTTGCTTTAGCTTTTCTGTGCTCAAGAGCAAGTTTCAAAGTTGTCTAACATCCACTATTTTCCTGTCTTTGCTTTCTTCCTGTATGATCTTGATGTCACCCCACAACTCCTCTGCTCTTTGGTCATTAGTATCTAATGCTTCAAATCTGCTCTTGAGATAGTTTCTAATTCAGGTGGGATATATTCTAGGTCATATTTTCGCTATCATGGACTTGTGTGAATTTTCTTTAACTTAAACTTGTGTGTAAACAGTTGCTGATCTGCTCAGCAGTCACCCTCTGGCCTTCTTGTGTCTGATGATATTGAGCTTCTTCGTCAGTTCCCAGAGATGCAATCAGTTTAATTCCTGTGTCTTCCATGTTGTAAGGTCCATGTGAATAGCAGTCATTAATGTTGTTGAAAAGGTATTTGCAATGAACAAGTTGTTGGTTTTGCAAAATTCTATCATGGTATTTCCAGCATTATTTCTATCACCAAGCTCATGTTTTCCAGCTTTCACATTCCATTAATTATTAATGAATCTTTGATTATATCTTGATTACATTTTTTATCTATTTCAGACTAAAGAAGTTGGTATAGTTCTTTAGTTTTATCAACACTGGTTTTAGTGGTTGGTGCATAATTTGAATAATAGCACTGCTAATGGGACTTCCTTGTAGGAGTGTGGATAATATCCTATCACTGACAGTATTGTACTTCAAGACAGATCTTGAAATGCTCTTTGATGATGAATCAGTGATAATCCTCTTTAATTTGTCATTCATGGAATAGAAAACCATGTTATTGTCCGATTTAAAATGACCAATACCAGTCCATTTCAGGTCACTACTACCTAGGATATCGATCTTTATGCATTTAATTTCAGTTTTGACAACTTCCAGTTTTCCTAGATTCATACTTTTCCACATTGTGATTATTGATGTATATGTTTACAGTTGTTTCTTCTCATTTTGAGCTGTGCCCCATCAGCAAATGAGGGTCCTGAAAGCTTTGCTCCACTCATGTCATTATAGTCACCTCTACTGTAGGAGGCATCTCTTCCCCAGTTTATTTTGAGTGCCTCCCAATGAAGGGCTCATCTTCCAGCACTATTTATGAAAGTGTTTTGCTGGAATTCATAAGGTTTTCAGTGTCTAATCATTCAATAGTGGTCCACCTCTCCTCCCTAGTTTTTATTAGTTTAGAAGTTCCGCTGAAACCTGTCCACCATGGGTGATCCTCCTGGTATTTAAAATATCTTTGCATTGTGTCCAGAATCACAGCAACACACAAGCCACCACAGTATGACAAATTGGCAGATGAGTGTTGGAAATATGCACAGTGTCTGGTAACATCACTGATTGTGAAAACAATGAAAATATTTTAAGAAATTCTACTTTCTCTTTATTGTTAAGATGTCACTTTCATGTTTTTAATCAAAAATGTTCACAGAATTTACTGTTTCAACACAGAGCTCCAGAAAAAAACCTATCTGTTAGGTTTAATTTCCCACTGACTATTATAAATAAATATTATCTTAAAGACTTGGTCTATATTTTTGCTGTTGTTGTTAGGTACTTTTGAATCAGTTCACAATCATAGTGACATTTTCTAGGGTTTCCGAGGAGTGTTTGGTAGGTTTGAACCACTGATTTTGTGGTTAGCAGTCCAGTGTCTATCTTACAGCGCCATACTAGGACTTATATATCTATATTTGTATCTGTGTCTGGAGTTCTGGAGTCCTGGTGTGGCACTGTGGGTTAATGCTCTGGACTGCAATCATGGTTTGAACTGCAAAGTCAGCTGCTTGGAAACCCTATACAGGGTCGCTGTGAGTTGGAACCAACTCAGCAGCATTTAACAACAACAATATATGGAGTCCTGGTATATGGACTTGGTTCTGACTCAGCAACCCTGTGTAGAGTTTCTGAGGCTTTAAATCTTTGCAGGAGCAGAAAGACTCATCTTTCTCCCATGGAGCAGCTGGTGAGCTAGAACTGCAGACTTGGTGGTTTGCAGTCCAGTGCTTATTTTATGTAGCTACTGGATATATATATATCTATATCTATATCTATATATATATATATATACACATACACACACACATTATATATATGAACTCAGTGTGTGTATATATATATATATATATCTTTAGATAATAGGAGGTTTCAAAAAGTTGGTGCAAAAGTAGAATTAAAAGATAATGAATTTTTTCTATGTGCTTTTTGAAGCACTACTCTTTCTTTTAGTGTGATTATCACATTGCACCACTTGCTAACTTCCATGTCTTTGCCACATGCTTGTGATCTTTATGAACATTGTTGTTATTGTTAGGTGCTTTTGATTTGGTTTCTACCCTTTGCCCAACAGACCCTCTGTTCAACAGTGACCCTGTGCCCAGTCCTGCCTTATCCTCACAATTGTTGTTAAATTTGAGTTAGGACTGTGTAATAGTTATCTTCCAGTCACAGTGCTTGTTGAAGTGTTTTGCACATTGGGTCACTCAGTAAATGTTCAGTGAATGGGATAATGGAAGTCATTAGCTTGAAACATGTTCATTAGTACTAGAGAAGGAACTTGGCTGGTAAGAATACTAGACCTTATGGGAATAGAGAATTTGTAATTTTATCAATATTTAGAGATAAAATTATATTGGCCAAGTTGGATGCATTGCCATATGGGAGTTTTAGTAAATAATGAATTTGTGATAAAAGGAATTCCTGAAATTTTCCTTTTCAGTCTCATTTTTCAATCGTACTGTACTTTTATATTTTGTAGTGCCTCCACTTCTCATTCAGAGAATTCAGTGCATACAAAATCAGCTTCTGTCATATCATCAGATTCCATTTCAACTTCTGCAGACAACTTCTCACCTGATCTGAGGGTAAGTGTGTGTTCCCTGGTGGCTCTGTGGGTTAGGTGTTGGGCTGCTAATGGCAAGGTTAGTTGTTCAAACCCATCAGCCTTTCCTTGGGAGAAAGATGAGGTTATCTGCTGCTGTAAAGATTTACAGTCACAGAAACCGTATATAGGGTCGCCGTGAGTCAGAATCGACTCAGTGATAGTGGGGTTAGTTTGTTTTTTGTTACTGTTCTTAAAGTTATGATGACATTTTTTGTGTTAGTTATTTGTGACCAACACTATTAATGCTCCTATAACTTTTAATTACGCAGGAGATATTGATGAAGTACTATTTTTAAAGACCTGAGTCTTTATACCATATCCCAGAAGAGGTCAGCAAATTTATAATTCTTATATGTTTGTCAAAGAAAAATGTGTAATTCCTTTCTCAGTTGGAAAACTTTTAAGTTCTTTGTCAACAGATAGTGAACTTCTTTGTAGTATAAAAGATTTTCATGATTACTCCCGTAATAATGGTCAATAATAGCTAACATTTATTGAATACTTACACAATATGCAGAGCATTGTTCTAAGTGTTGTACATTAACTATATCTTGTGATACTCTTACCAATTCTGTAAGGTAGGTGCTATTATTATCACCATTTTACAAATGATAATGATTTATAGAGAGATTATGTGTCCAAGGTCTCGTAGCTAATACGTTGTACTGCCAGTTATCCACATTTTAGTACGATCCAAGTCACTTACACACAGTGATATAGTCCCTCCACATACCATATAGTTTATATGTATTCCTCTATTAGAAGTCTTGTTTCTCTGAAATTATCTACATCTATGACATCCTGTATAGCATAGCAGGTCTGTTGGGTTTGTAATTATTCTGATTTGAGTTTTCAGATATTAATAATCCCATCAAGACTTAAAGAATAAAAGGTTTGAATGGGTTTTAGTAGAAAAGTGCCAAATAATTTTAACAGAAGTTAAATAGAGACCATTTAAAAGTTAGAAAATATGAAACAGTCATGGAAGTCTATTTAATGTACTCACGATCACAACAAGGATAGTATTATCTCTGTTCACCTGACAGTAAGGGCATGGAATACATAGGAGCCTGATGTTATTCTGGAGAAGGCAAAAGCTTTCAGACTTCAAATATAAGCATAATGCTACTGTTGTAAACTCTGTAATTATTCATTCATGTTTCCATGTGATCATCTTGTTACAGAAAAATTCTTTATTAAAGGACATTTGATTAAATTCAATAATTGGTCCATATTTTTGAAACTCTTAGTTATAAAGGAAAGGATGAATACTTATATAAGTATTGTCTTTACATTTAAATGTGAAAACACTAAAGGCATTCCCATGAAAGAACAGGATAAGGATGCCTGTTATTATGCCACTGTAATAAACTATCAGAAACAAATGAGTTTAGTTAAGTGGCTGATTATAAAATTGATATGTAAGAATCAATCATTTTCTAATATAAGCTTATAATGAAGTTCTGGTATGGTGCTATAGGATAAACATTGGACTGACAAATGCAAGGATGGTGGTTCAAACCCACCAGATGCTCTTTGGAAACCCTATACAAAGTTGCTGTGGGTTGGAATCGACTCAACAACAGTTAACAACAACCAAAAAAATATCATATAATAATTTAAAAGTTCTAATACCTATGAAGGAGCTCTGGTAGCCTAGTAGTTACAAATCGGGCTGCTATCTGCAGGGTTAGCAGTTCAAAACTACCAGCTGTTCCACGGAAGAAAGATGAGGCTTTCTGCTCCCGTAAAGATTTACAGCCTTGGAAACCCTGCACAGGGTCGCTATGAGTCAAAACCAACTCCACGGCACATAACAACAACAATACCTATGAATCAACTTAAGCACTGGTCTGCGAACCACAGGGTTGGTGGTTGGGGCCCACCAGTTGCTCCATAGGAGAAAGGTGAGGGTTTCTGCTCCAGCAAAGATTTGAAGCCTTGGAAACCCCATATAGAATCACTGTGAGTCAGAACTGACCCAACAGCATTTAACAATAACATAGAGGAAAACTTTAAAACTCTGTGGCGGGACTTAAGTAAATAAAAAGACATACTTTGTTTTTAAGTTGAAATCCTCAGTGTTGTTTAGATTTTAGTCTTCCCTTACTCTATAAATACTACGGTTATTGTAAAAAATACCAATATGATTTCTTTTTCATTTGACAAGATAATTCTCAAATTTGTAATGACAAAATTTGGAAACTATATGAATGTCTTTTGATGGGGTATGATTAAATTATTTACATCTTTACAGTAGAATAGTATTCAGTCTTTGAAAAGAGTCTATGTGGATATGAAAAGATTTTTAAGACAGCCTTTAAAAACTGAGGTACAGAATTGTATGTATAATCTCCCATTTGTTGAGGGTAGTGGTTGAAAGGGTAGAAGAGGCTATGGATACATAAGCAGATGGTATTAGGGGCAGATAGACTGGAAACAGGAAGAAATGGCATGTACTTGGGTAATGACATACACACATAATGGATTTGATTGTATGTAGATTTGTATGTGTGTGTATGTATGCAAAGCTGATGACTATAGTTTACTTCTTAATAACTCTACTTTGTTTGTGTATTTTGTGATACTCCCTCTTCATCTTACGGGTCACCCTAAGGTGCCCTTATCCCTTGTTTTCCCTTCTTCTTTTCTTTCTTATGCTCTTTCTTTCTCATATCTTCAACTATCGTTTCTTTCTGGATACTGTTGTTGTTATTAGGTGTTGCTGAGTCATTACTGACTTACAGTGAACATGTGTACAATTGAATGAACACTACCCAGTCCTGTGCCATCCTTTCAGTCACTGCTGTTTGAGCCCATTGTTTCAGCCATGGTGTCAGTCCATCTTGTTGAATGACTTGTTTTTTTCCTGACCCTCTACCAATCATGATCTCTTTCTCTAGGGACTGTTCTTTCCTGATCACATGTTTGAAGTATGTAAGATGAAGTCTCACCATCCTTCTGAGGAGCATTGTGTCGGTATTTCTTCAAAGAAAGATTTGTTTGCGTTCTTCTAGCTGTCTATGGTATATTCATAATTCTTTGCCAATGCCACAATTTAAATGCATCAATTTTTCCACATTCTCCTTTTTATATTTTCCAGCTTTCTTATGCATAATAGGTGATTAAAGGGTCAAACATATCTTAGTTAATAAAGTGACTTCTTGCCTTTTGAAAACTTTAAAGAGGTCTTTTGCAGCAGATTTGCCCAATGCAATATACCGATTGATTTCTAGATTACTACTTCCATAGGTGTTGATTTGTGTAATCCATACAAAGTCTCTGGTCTTCATCAATAAGTTCTTCAAGGTCTCTTCACTTTGAGCAAGCAAAGTTGTGTCTCATGCATATCACCAGTTGTTAATGAATTTTCTTTCATTCATGATGCAGTATTCTTCATATAGTCAACTTCTTGGATTATTTCCTCAGCATATAGATTGAATAAGTATGATGAAAAGATCCAATCCTGGTACATATCTTTACTGATTTTAAACCACTCAGTATTCCCTTGTCCTGTTCAAACAACTGCCTTTTGATCTATGTACAAGTTCCACATGAACACAATTAAATGTTCTGGAATAGAGCATGTTGTTAAGTGTTGTTGAGTCAGTTCTGGCTCATAGCGACCCCATGTGGGGTTTCCGAGGCTATAAATCTTTGTGGAAGCAGAAAGCCACATCCTTCTCCCATGGAGCAGTTGGTGAGCTTCAACTGGTGACCCTGTGGTTCACAGTGCTTATCCTAGAGAACCACTGTGCTCCCTGGAATTGAACATAGTTGCTAGTTATGTTGTTGAAATAAGGTATTTCTAATGAGTATATCATTGGTCTTAGCAAAATTCTATTATGTGACCTCCAGCATCATTTTTACTTGTGGCCCTGATGTCTTTTTTCCTTCCCTTTATCAGTTTCTTGCTGCACTATTGGCACTAGAATGCTGTCTTGTCAACATCTGAGTTGTAACTTAGTGGAATACAAGCATCAAAAAAGAAGCAGTAAAATAGGAATTGGGTGATAGATAGAATTAATGCTATATTACCTTTAAGAGATAGATGATTTTTCATAAGTAGCCTTTTGCAGAAAAGAGAAAGAACTGGCATGCATTTAATTGTATCTTGTGCCATGAGCTTCATTCAACCTATTACCTGTGTGGTTTGGAAACAAATTGTATTTTAAGGTTCAAATTTGAAATTTTCCCTTGATACGAGGTGATCCTTTCTAGACTGTTGCTCAGTTACTCATTTTTTATCCTTATTGAAGCATCAATGGTGATGTAATATTGTCCAGCTCTTAGTAATTATGGTTTCAGCTGAAAATGAAATTGTCCTTGACTGTGTGATGAAAAGAAAGGGTTCTCCTGTGTTCAGCGCAGATGCACTTTCAAATGTGTAGTCGTTCAGATCCATCCCAGATGCTCATCTGTGCTTGGTCATTTTCAGATATTTGTTTGTGATTTATTTGCCCACTTTATGGTTTGTCAGTCAAGATGTATAAAAAACAGAAAAAAAAAATTTCATGTAAACAGTGCTTTAAAAAGCAGAATTGTTCTAGAGAGAAGTACATTTCTTTCTTTCTTTCTTTTTTTTTTTTCCCCCCATCGGGATTTTAGTATACAAAGTAGGAGGGCTTTTTTTTTTTTTTTTTTTTTTTTTTTTTGTGAATTATGTGATAGTTTACATGGGAAAACATTAGTTTTACATTCATCCTATAGTGTATCATTTCATTGCTATGGTTACAATCCCCTCCATGCATCATCAACCAACCAAAGGGTATACACTACAAACATGTCCCCCACCCCCACGCCCGGTCATCAGCACACAGGCACTCTCCCTCTCTGTGTCTAAAGTCCCCAACAGCTCCAGGAAGGATATTTTATAAGTTCTCCAGACACAGTTTTCCCTTTTGGCTCATTATTATTTAGTGTTTTTCAGAATTCAGAAAAATCCTTCCTATTTTTCGGACCATTTCATGTACAAACTGATTCATAAATTGCCATCATTAGAGACAAGTTTTCTGAATTTCCTTATAGCAAGTTCTCGATGAGAGAGAAAGGAAGAGGGAGGGAGCTGCAGAGGTTAAAGTCATGGAAAATTACTGAATTACTCAGCAGTTTGAAAATAGTTTGGTAAAGTAGGCATGGAAAAAAATGGGGAGAGAAAAAAGGGATTGGGAGAGAGCAAACCTAAACTAATTATATTTTAGGAATAGAATAAAATGTATTATAGATTTTAGTCTTAATTTTTTCACCAGTAAGATTTTAATATGATTAATAGACTTTTCTTATGATAAAAAGAAAATAGTTAAATATTATATTGAATTCCATCCCTTCTCAACTTTGTCCTTAGGTAAATACTGCCCTTTTGATTTGGAATGATTGACCATTCCATGGTGAGCATACATCACCAGTGTTGTCCTTTCTTTATACCTATCTATAGCCTGGCTGAAAATTGGGTGATAAAGGTGTGTTCCTTTCTAGACCTGAAGGGTGGTTGAGGGCTATAGTCACAAGTTCCTCCATTCTCTCTCTGACCCGCAAGACCAATAACTTATATTAAATTATTTTTTAATATAATTTTGAATTTTGTTCTCCATTCTCTGCCACCTTCTAATGTAAAGCAGTTATTAGTGGCAGCCAGGCACCACCTACTTCTTCTGGTCTCAGAGTTGTGGAGACTGATGTTCACATATTCCATTAGTCTTTGGACTTACTGATTCCAAGTGTCTTCAATTCTCAGTACTCTTCTTTCTTCCGCAAACAAGAGACCAATAGTTGCACCATAGGTGACAAGTCCTGGTGTGGTGCTGTAGGATATGCACTGGACTGGTAACCACAAAGTCAACAGTTCAAACCCACCAGCTGCTCCTTGGAAACTCTATATAGGGTTGCTCTGAGTTGACATCAGCTTGACATCACTTAACAGCAACATTCATATAGTTATAACTCTGGATGTATCTAATAAATAGTGAATGGTTTAGACAGCAAATTGATAACATTATTTTAGCTCACATCCTGGTGTGGTGCTGTAAATTTAGCACTGGACTGTGAACCATAAGGTCAGCAGTTCAAACCCACCAGCTGCTCCCTAGAAACCCTATACAGGGTCACTACAAGCTGGAATTGACTTGGCAGCACTTAACAACATTAAAAAAAAAAGAGTTTTAAGTATTTCAGGACATTTCCCTAGTCCTTCTCTTATCTAAGAAAGAAGTAACTTTTCTCTTACTAAAGATATTTTTATGCTAGTGCTGAAAAAACCAATAGATCAGTCTGACTTTGTTCTTTCAGTCCCCAGTCCCCACTGCATAAAGGTAGAAAGGTAGGCTCTGCTTTTAATTTACTTCCTTTCTTCATTGAATCTGTACTTCTCTTTTCTTCCATTACTGACATATCTGAGATGTAATTCGTCTGAAGTAAAAAAAAAATCAAGTATTGCTAAAAATGATTTGTTTTATCAATGTGAGGTCAAATTTGATCATTTTATCAACAAGTTTCCCATGGTCCAGTATTTATTTCTACTACTGCAGACTAGGATTTTGATATTTCTCCTCTTATATTCTTACCATTTCCTCTGTATTGTATTCAATTTTGTGTACGTGTGACCATATCATCTGCCTCCAATAGACTCCTGCAGTGAGTTTTCTTTACATGACTGGTCAGTGGTTTTTCTTTAGATGACTTATATTTTCTTCCCAATATTACAAAAATTTCTAAAAGCATAGAAAAGTTTTCAGGCAACAACCTACACCCACCGTCTAAATTCTACTGTTAACGTTTTACTCTTATTTGTTTTTCTAGCTTATCCATTTATCTCCCATTCCTCTATCTACCTAGCCACACAGCTTTCTAGTGGTGGATGCATTTCATAGCAAATTGCAGGGGACAGTATATTTCCAAATAAATGCTTTGGAATACAGATCATGAATTAGAGTTCAATATTATATTAGCTTTCTTTTTAGAATTTAATTATGGTTATACATGCAGATGATAACATTTTGCTTGCTGAAAGTGAAGAACACTTAAAATATTTACTGATGAAGATCACAGACCACAGCCTTTGGTATGGATTGCACCTCAGTGTAAACAAAAATCCTCACCACTGGACCAATAAACAACATTCTTATCAATGGAGAAAAGATTGAAGTTGTCAAAAACTTTATTCTTCTTAGATCAACCATCAACACTCATGGAAGCAGCAGTCAAGAAATCAAATGACGTATTGCATTAGGCAAATCTGCTGCACAAGACCTTTTTAAAAGTGTTGAAGAGCAAAGATGTCAGCTTGGGGATTAAGTGTGCCTGACCTAAGCCATGGTATTTTCAATAACCTCATATGCATGCAAAAGCTTGACAGTGAATAAGGAAGACAGTAGAAGAATCGATGCTTTTGAGTTATGGTGTTGGAGGACAATATTGAAAGTGCCATGATCTGATAAAAGAACCAATAGATCCGTTTTGGAAGATGTGCAGCCAGAGTGCTCCTTGGAGGCCAAGATGGCCAAACTTCAGCTCTCATACTTAGGACATATTATCAGGAGGGACCAGTCACTGGAGAAGGATATCATGTTTGGTAAGGTGGAGGGTCAGAGAAAAAGAGGAAGACCCCCAGTGAGATGGATTGGCAAAGTGGCAGCATCAGTGGGCTCTAGTCAGTGGGCTCAAGTGTGGCAAAAATAGTGAGGTTGGCCCAGGACTGGGCAGTGTTTTGTTCTGTTTAGTACAAAGGGTTGTTATGAGTTGGTACTGACTCAATGGCACCTAAAAACAACAAAATATATGTGTTGTTAAGTGCTATTGAGTCGGTTATACCCCATAGCGATGCTATATAAGGTTTCCAAGGAGCAGCTGGTGACCTGTGGTCAAACGTACTTTGCAGTCTAGCACATTAGCTCACAGCACCACACCAGGACTCCATGTATATATTTGTGTGCGTACCATTTTTATTGTTTCCAAGTGTGTAATTTAGTGACATTAATTCCATTCACCATATTGTGCAACCATCACCACTGCTTCCAAACTACTGAGTTTCCTCTCCTCACACTTCTGGTAATCACTAATACATTTTGTTTCTATACATTTGTCTATTTTATACATTTTATAGAAATGGAAAAATAAAATATTTGCTGTTTTGTTGCCAATATCAAATGTGGCTAAGAATAATGAAAAATACATTCTGAAAATGTCTGTTGACTTTAATAATGAGGTGGTTATTGGAAGGGGAGTAGGTTTTTTGGAAGAGGTAGGTAGCAAAGCCAGATTTACAGTTAGTTGAAGAATTAATGGAAAGTGAAGAAGTCGAAACAGGGAGTACAGACAACTCCTACTGTCCCGCAGTAAAGGTAGGGAAGAACTCTCGGTAGTTGGAGGGGAATGTATTTAATATAAAACATAACATAACATAACATAACATAACATAACATAACATAACATAACATAACATAACATAACATAACAAGCTTAGGTGCTTGTGTCTTCTCTGAGTTGTAACTCCTTTAGAAAACTGGTTTCTATCTTTCATTTTTGAAATCCATTGGCATCTTTCTCTCTGACCTTCGACTTCTCAGCTCTGTGGTCCCTTGGCCTCTTGTCCTGTTCAGGCAAGTGATGCAAAGCACATTTAGCTCTGCTGGTAAGTTCCCAGAGGCATCCACTCCACTAGTAAGCCTCAGCCCAAAGGTGGTTGGTGCTCAGCTTTAACTTTGTGGGTTGGCAAACGTAGTTCTACTAAGTGCTCGGAGGTACCCTACTCTGCCAGCAAACCTTCTGTCTGGAGGCACTTAACTTCCTCATTCTGTGGGTCAGGAATTCCACTCTTCTGTTTCCTGTCAGTCTCTTGGTTCTTCTTCCTCTGCTCCCACCGTTTCTTCTGTTATTTTTGCTGTTTCTCACTGTCTCCAGTGTCACAGTTCCCTGACTCCTGGATACAGGAGGTTCTCAGCACAATGATCCCTGGTCCAAAGAACGTGCCCCACTCCAGGCTCGTCTTTCTTGGTGGTCCTGACATCCCTTTTTCTGCCTTTGGAGTGGCTCATTTTAAGCCTAGTGGGTTGGCAAAACTGACCAGTCCGTATTTTAGGATTCTATACACTTTATTTCATGGTCCCATCCCCACAAGTATTCAGTACACTTTATTTACATTATTAGAAAGCTGTCTAACCCACTTGGTGAACACAGGCACCTGTGGCTAGTTCTACCCAGATATTTGGACAAAGGCTGTAGGTGGAGGTGGCAGTGTGCCATGGAGTCGGTTCTGACTCATAGTGACCCTGTATAGGGTTTCTGAGGCTGTAAATCTGTACAGGAGCAGAAAGCCTATAGGTAGAAGAGCCATATTTCGTAATTCACTGCACAGCAGGAATACACCCTCTAACCCTTTAACTCAATGGCTCTTCAACATTATTATCATTTTTATTTCTTTTTCCTTATCTATAAAATGGAAATAATAACACTTCCTCTGGGGCAACTTCAGGATTCAAGGAGAAAATGTGTAAAATATATTCTAAAGTTGTTAACTTTTTGTTAAGTGCTGGTGAGTTGGTTTCAACTCACAGTGACTCTGTATAGGGTTTCCAAGGAGCAGCTAATGGGTTTGAACTGCCGACTTTATGGTTAGCAGCCCTAATGTTGTTTTCTCTTTTCTAAGAAAACTACCTCAAGTACTACACTATACATTTTATAATTTGATTTAAAGTAGTGTATATGATAACTATGTTAATAACTTTAAATGAAAAACAAACATTCTTGGTTGAAATTTCAGTGAAAAATTAGCCTTTGATTAAAAATGTATCTTTTCCTGCCCTTTTCCAATCCAGGTCCTGAGGGAGTCTAATAAATTAGCAGAAATGGAAGAACCACCCTTGCTCCCAGGAGAAAATATTAAAGACATGGGTCTGTAATGGTATTTTTTTGTTCAATTTCCTTTCCCCTTATGACTGCAGACTATTCAGTACAGAAAATGGGCCCACTGCCACAGGGACCCCTCCTGTCTGGCAATACACAGTACCTCCAGCCTCCCAGCACCTCAGTATTTATATCCAGACTGTTTAGTATTTACAGCCAGACAATCTGGAGTATTTATATCCAGACTACTAGGAAACATGAAAGTTGAGTTCTGGGAAAATTTCATTATTTTGAGTGACTGCATTCAGATATGAAGTTGCATAAATAGATATTAAATTGTCACATTGCCTGAGTATTTTTCTTCAAACACATTCCCTCTTAATATGCTTCCTGTTTTCTTCTCCTTTTTTTTTCTTTCTTTTTCTCTTAGTGAAAATAAGCTAATGTCAATCTTTGGATGAAAGTATTTACTTCTCGCTGCCAAACAAAGCAGATTGCATGTACGTGCTATTCTCCCCAGCCTAAAGCGCTAAGCATATACTTATAACGTAGACTAGAAACTGAAAAATAAGCGTTTAAGGTATCTCTTTTGTCCTTGAGCTTTCACTTTGCATTACTTATGTAGATAATCTATAAAAATACCCTTACATTTTGAGAACCAATGTAATATATTAGGAAAATTAAGTAAATGGTTTCCCAGCAAGGTAGATACCATCTTTCATTTTATTATCAATAATACTTTTTCAGAAAGGATTTAAGTGCATTAATTTTCTTTAGCTTGGTTTCATTTATATTCATTATCTGCTGAGCAAATAATTGTAGAAGCTGGATTATATCAAGAAGAATGTGACATTAGGATTGGAGGAAGACTCATTAACAGTTTATGATATGCAGATGATACAATCTTATTTGCTAAACTTGAAGAGGACTTAAAATACTTATTGATGAAGATCAAAGACCACAACCTTCAATGTGGGTTGCATCTCAGTGTAATCAAAACAAAAATCCTTATAGCTGGACTAATAAGTAACATCATAATAAATGGAGAAAACATTGAAGTTGTCATGGTTTTTATTTTGCTTGGATCCACTGTCAACACTCGTGGAAACATCAGTCAAGAAATCAAATGACGTATTGCATTAAGCAAATCTGCTGCACAAGATCTCTTCAAAGTGTATAAGAGCAAAGATACCAGTTTGAGGACTAAGGTGCACCTGACACAGACCATGGTATTTTCTATAGCCTCATAATGCATGTGAAAGTTATACAGTGAATAAAGAAGACTGTAGAAGAATTGGTGCATTTGAGTTATAGTGTTGGAGAAGAATATTAAAATACCATGGACTGCCAGAAGAACAAAAAAATCTGTTGGAAGAAGTACAGCCAGAATGCTCCGAAGAAGTCAAGATGGCAAGACTTTGTCTCTCATATTTCGGACACATTAGCAGGAGGGACCAGTCCATGGAGAAGGACTTCATGCTTGGTAAAATGGAGGGTCAGTGATAAAGAGGAAGACCCCAGTGAGAAGGCTTGGCACGGTGGTAGCAGCAGTGGATTGAAGCGTAACAGCATTTGTGAGGATGGTGCAGGCTGGGGCAGCATTTCTTTCTGTTGCATAAGGTCATTATAAGTCAGAACCAACGTGATGGCACCTACTAACATTAAGGTTTAATTTTCTTGTGTAAAAATAAGCAAACCAAAAATGGGAACTACTTACTAAATCGCTTGTGGTGGTTGTAATATTAAGCGCTCTTCTGTAAACCAGAAGGTTGGTGGTTTGAAACTACCAGCCAATCTGTGGGAGAAAGATGTAGCAATCTGCTTTAATAAAGATAACAGCTTTGGAAATTCTTTGAGTCCATTCTATGGTATCATATAGGGTTTCTATCATTCAGAATATAAATTTAACTTCTTAGTACTTAGTATGATGTTTGGGGAATGCAGTGGTTCTGTAGGATAAGCATTCAGCTGCAAATCACAAGGTCAGCTGGTCAAGCCTACCAGTGACTTGTGGGAGAAAGATGAGGCTTTCTGCTTCCACAGAGCTTTCCAGCCTTAGAAAACCTACATTAGGGTTGCTATGAGTTGGCATCAACTTGATGGCACTTTAACAACAAATGTGATGTTTGTCTCTTCTTACTCTTGATCCATTATTTTTTTTTCTTTTTCCCTCCTGTAAGGCTCATGAATACCTTAAGATCTAGTTCTGTTCTGCTACTCCAATGAGCTAGATATTATATTGCAGTCACCACTATATATTACATAATAATAATAGTAATCAGTATTGAGTGTTTTCTGCCTTATTTAGTCATTCTTATAGTACTTTTCTGAGGAAGATATTAACCTTATTTTGTATATGAGCAAACTAAGGAATAGAAAGTTACCAAGCTAGTAAAATTAATATTTTCACTTTTTTTTTTCTCCTACAAACCTAAACCGGTTTCCAGTATGATAAATTGTCTCATAAAAGACTTTCTGCCACTTAGTTTCTTTTGTTTACTCCTCTTGCTTTAAACATCCACTTTCCCTAGGATTTCATCCTTGATACTTTTTCCCTTTTGTGTATATATTCTTTTTGGCTGACCTTGTCTAAATTGGTAGCTTCTCCTATCACATGTATGCTGATGAGTCCAAAATTTGTTTCCATGTCTCTATACATACAAACAAATGCTTCATAGGCACATGCCCTTGGATATCTCATAATTACCTTAAAGATAACATCTTGATTTTAACCCCACAATTACTCCTTTTACTGCATTCTCTGTGTCTCAGTTAATATTAACACTAATTGTGCAGTCATTTAAGCCAGAAATGTGAGAATCTTCCTAAACTGCTTCTTTTTTTTCTGAACTCTTATTTCCAGTTAGTTACCAGTCGCTATGGGTCGGAACCGACTCGACGGCACTTAACAACAACAACAACCAGATTTGGAGAGTCATTATATAAGAAATACCTTAGATTTTACTTCTCTTAATTTTTATGAGCCTTGGTGTAGCATATGTGGATAATACATTTTAGGTACCTATGAGAAACTTGGGAGTCCGGTAGTGTAGGGGGTTATGATTTGAGATGCTAATCATAGGGAAGCAGGTTTACATCCCTGAAAACTCTATACAGGACCATTATGAGTCAAAGCTGGCTTGACAGTACACAACTACCATTACCACCATGAGAAACTTTAAATAGAGATGTCATAATAAACAGATATGGGAGTTTAGAAGGCAGATTGAGTTGAAGGCTCATTTGATCAGAACATGGATATTGATTGAGAGGATGAAAATAAGCCAGAGATATGAAACACAAGAGGGATAGTGGCCATCTTTGTTTCCTTTTGTTCATCTCAGAGGAGAAGGAGATGTCCCTCCTCTTCCCACCTTCCCATTTTTCCACATTCCTTCCACAGAATTCAGTGTGATTGGAAGCTTTGGTTAGGTTTTTGAAGTCTGTACAAATCATTTGATTATGTGATTTTTTTTTAGTATAAAGTTAAGACTAACAATTAGATTTCTATTAAGTTTAATTTGTAAATATATGACATTTTAAATAATGTACTATGTATACATAGTAAACTATGAACTCTTCCTTTTCAGCCAAAGATGTAACTTACATATGTCCATTCACTGGTGCTGTACGAGGAACTCTGACTGTCACAAATTACAGGTTATATTTCAAAAGTATGGAACGGGTAAGACTTCTTATTAAATTAGATTTTTGTATGTACACCTATATGCTTACAGCCAGTTTTATTAATTTCTAAGTATTCCTAATGAAAAGATTTCTGATTAAGATTTTTCTCAGCTATAATTATAAAGCATCAGTTGTTCAGTTTTAATTAACAAATTTTCCTCTCCTTTCTTTAGGACCCACCCTTTGTTTTAGATGCTTCTCTTGGTGTGATAAGCAGAGTAGAAAAAATTGGTGGTGCTTCTAGTCGAGGTGAAAATTCCTATGGACTTGAGACTGTGTGCAAGGTAAAATTGGACTTTATCCAATTTGGAAATGCTTTGTTTTAAAGAGGACTTGTGTTTGAACTCTGATTTCAAAAATATCAAATGAATTTCATATTAGAAAATTCTAGTAGTAGAAGACAACATTTAGGAGCCGTAAGGACAAATTGATGTATCATAAATTAGATATAACTTCTTTTAGGTCCACTTCAGCCTGTATGTTTTGATACGCTGATATGTCAATAGCATCAGTTTTCAGACTGATCATCGTGTATCCATTGAATACAAACTACTTTTGCAGTTATTGTTTCACTTTGAGCCTCACAAAAATCCTATGAGGAAGACATGATTGACATTATTACCTTTAGTTTACAAATTAGAAACCTGAGCCCCTGAGCAATTAAGGCATAGTATAAGGACTCTGGTAGCATGATGGTTACAAATCGGGCTGCTAATCTCAAGTTCGGCAGTTCGAAATTACCAGTGGTTCCATGGGAGAAAGATGAGGCTTTCTTCTCCCGTGAAGATTTACAGCCTCAGAAACCCTGTGCAGGGTCGCTATGGGTCAGAATCGACTCGAAAGCACTTCACAACAACAACTTTTTTATGGAGTCCTGGTGCCAGACTGCATTGTCATTTGAACTTCAAGGTCGGTGGTTCAAGCTCACCAGCTGCTCCTTGGAAACCCTATACAGGGTCACTATGGGTTGGAACCAACTTGACGGCATTTAACAACTTTGTTTATAGTGGATGGCTTGAGTATGCCTTATTCATCATTACCTATCTTTTCTATTTCTACTTTTGAAACAATGCTAGAAAACATGATGTTGTAGACCTTCATTGTTTTTTTTATCTGCTTGGATTCCATAAATGCATTGTCTCTTGAATGAAACTTTGATTGGATTTGTTATATTTTTACCATGAAATCATAGATAATATGTTGTAGCTCTGTACTATAAGTATTGGATTACAAATCACTAGGTTAGTGGTTTGAGTCCACCATCCGCTCCTCTGAAACCCTATACAGCATAGCTGTGAGTCAGAACCAATTTGACAGCACTTAACAGCAACAATAACAAATGTTATAGGGCTGGACTATGGTCTTTTTAGGTAACTCTATGGTTAAGAGTGATTCTGAATAGTTGTGGAGATATTTACTAAGGTAAAACAAGGCATCACCTTGGGTTTCCTTAGATAGTTAAGATATAGAAAAACTGACATTCTAGTTTAATATCAGAGTTATAGTAAGATGTTTTACCTGCTCATGTTCTGTAGGTACAGTGGCTCCCTTTGTACAGTGAATTTACGTAGGCCATTTTCATCCACTGATAGAACTTAATGTGAAATTTAGTATTGTCAATTGCGTTTTGGTGAGATAAATATTCTCTATAGAGGCAATAGAGCTATTTGTTCTTAGGACATATTATTGGACAGATGTTTAACTTAGTTGATGCAAGTTATCTTATTAATAATGTAGTGTCAAATTAAATATGCTATCTATGAAAAATATACTGTTATAAGTAGTGAAGTTCTCTGTATCCTGCTTTATAGTATGGGGTATAATAAAGCTATCTTGAATTTTGTCTATGCTAAGACATATAAATAAAATAGGTAGTTTTGAAATTATTCTTAAGTCCATATTTTTTTCCAAGTACTGTTAGCATGGCAGTAAACAAGAACATGAATATTTTTATTCAGCCTGAGCATAGAAACTTCTTTGAAGACAGATTATGGAAAGGAGCTTTGGTCTTTATAAAAACCTGACCTTACAACCTGAATAATGTCAAGCAAACTGTTCAGACTTCAGAGAGCATTGTGTCCCAGTGGTAGAAATTTGTCCTTTCACATAGGAGACCTGGGTCCTGTTTCTGGAAGGCCAGTGCACCTTGGTCTCAGCCAGCACCTGTCAATGGAGCTTTCAAACTAACAAACTAAGAATAAAGACTTGGCAATCTACTTCCAAAATCAGCCAGTGAAAAACCTGTGGCTCTCAGTGCAATCAGCAACCAGTCATGTGGAGGGAACTTGATTGGACAGACTTTTGTTTCATTTTACATGGAGTTACTGTGAGTTACTTCACAACAACAACAAACCATGAGTTAGGATGAATTGCAGCTAACAACAACAGTAACAACAGAGTTTACTTCTCAAAACATAGTTGGACGTGGAAGGGAGGAAGACTTTTAGACAGGGATTGGCTCTAATAGTGTGGCATCAGGAGGCTTAGGAAGAGAAGCTATAATGGAAGTGAGTCCTGAGAGGCTATAGTAGATAGAGAAATAAATACCAGACATAATGGGAGTAGAGACACATTGAAAATGTTCTTACAGCTAATCAGGTCTTTAATAGGGAAATTCATGACAGAAATGGGCTTTCTCAGGAAAGATAAAACAAAATCATATGCTTGATAGTGTGTATTAGTCATAATATTAAGTGCTTATATCAAATGCTGCCTCTTTTATTGGTCTATCTTGAAAATTTTGTGCCCTTTAAATTCTGTCTCATATTAAAGGTGACTTGTGTTATTTTTTGGTTCTCACAATAAATCATCGTAAGTTGTCTGCTTCTAGGATCTGTTGTCTGATTTTCTTTTAATCCCACATCAATCTTAATCTTTTGCATCATAATTTTAAGTAATCTTACTTATTCCTTAAATTAAAAAAGGGTGAATTCTAATTGACTTGGTTACGAAATCTTTTCTAGGATATCAGGAATTTACGGTTTGCTCATAAACCTGAGGGACGAACAAGAAGATCCATATTTGAGAATCTAATGAAATACGCATTCCCTGTCTCTAATAACCTGGTAAATGATTCGTCTTTGAAATATGTATATTATAATAATTGGTGAAATGTAAAGAAACATCTAGACTACTTAGTATTTCTGTACTTAATGTTCCTGCTTTGCCCTTTAAATAGATGCATAATTTAGGTTCAGTCTAGTCTCTTGGACCAATTTCTTCAGGTATAAAATTAGGAAGTCAGATTAGCTGATTTTTGAGGCTCATTCCAGTATTAATAGTCTATAAACCTATGATCGTCCTATTCAATGTATTTCTATGATGAAAAGCTGTAAGTGGTCTTCATTAGGGTTTGAAATCTCCTTTGTGATAGGATCTTAAAATAAAGACTAGTAATTTTGGGAAAAAAGGAAAGCAAGTGCTTAATGAGTTCCTATATATGTGCTATTAACAGTTTTAAATACCCTCATTTACATTATATCATTTAAATTCCACAATATCCCTAAGGTGATAGGTATCATTTAATTTATTCCCATTTAGAGATGAAACTAGAAGACTGTCAGCAATTATCTCAAGGAGATAGCTGCTACAAGAGGGTAGAATTTGTAGTCAGTACTGGTCAACCATTTCAAGAGGTACCATATGAACAAGAGCCAGTGATACTCAGGGAGGAATTCCAAAATGCCTTGAAAGAATTGGCAAAGAATAAGGCACCTGGAATTGATGGAATAAAAATTGAAATCTTTCAAAAAAGCGAGGCGGCACAAGAGGCACTCACTCATCTCTGCCAAGAAATTTGGAAGACAACTATCTGGCCGACTGGAAGAGATCCATATTTGTGCCCATTCCAAAGAGAGGTGACCCAACGGAATGTGGAAATCATCGGACAATCGCTTTGATATCTCAAGCGAATAAAGTTTAGCTCAAGGTAATACAGAAACGGCTACAATCATACATTGACAGAGAACTTCCAGAGGTTCAAGCTGGATTCAGAAGAGGCCGTGGAATGAGAGATATCATTGCAGATGTCCGATGGATCTTGGCTGAAAGCAGAGAATATCAGAAGGATGTTTACCTATGCTTTATTGACTATGCGAAGGCTTTCGATTGTGTGGATCATGACAAGCTATTGACAACATTGAGAAGTATGAGTATTCCAGAACACTTAATTGTACTTCTGAGGAATCTGTACCTGGACCAAGAGGCAGTTGTTTGAACAGAGCATGGGAACACTGAATGTTTTAAAATTGGGAAAGGTGTGGGACAGGGTTGTGTTCTTTCACCATTCTTGTTCAATATGTATGCTGAGCAAATAATATGAGAAGCTGGGTTCTATGAAGGAAAATGTGGCATCAGGTTTGGAGGAAGACTTATTAACAACCTGAGATAATGCAGATGATACAACCTTGCTTGCTGAAAGTGAAGAGGACTTAAAATATTTACTGATGAAGATCAAAGAGCACAGCCTTACGTATGGATTACACCTCAAAGTAAACAAAAATCCTCACCACTGCACCAATAAACAGCATTCTTATCAATGGAGAAAAGATTGAAGTTGTCAAGGACTTCATTCTTCTTGGATCAACTATCAACACTTGCGGCAGCAGCAGTCAAGAGATCAGACGACATACTACATTGGGCAAATCTGCTGCACAGGAACTTTTTAAAGTATTGAAGAGCAGAGATGTCAGCTTGAGGACTAAGATGCGCCTGACCCAGGCCATGGTATTTTCAATAACCTCATATGGATGTGAAAGCTGGACAGTGAATAAGGAAGATCGTAGAAGAATTGATGCCTTTGAGTTGTGGTGTTGGAGGAGAATACTAAAAGTGCCATGGACTGCCAAAAGAACCAATAAATCTGTTTTGGAAGAAGTGCAACCAGAGTACTCCTTGGAGGCCAAGATGGCTAGGCTTCGTCTCTCCTACTTTGGACATATTGTCCTGAGAGAACAGTCGCTGGAGAAGGATGTCATGCTGGGTAAGGTGGAGGGTCAGAGAAAAAGAGGAAGACCCCCAACGAGATGGATCAGCCAGGTGACATCATTGATGTCATCAAGTGTGGCGGCGGTAGTGAGGTTGGCCCAGGATCGGACATTGTTTCGTTTTGCTGTGCATGGGGTCGCTATGAGTTGGTTCCTACTTGATGGTACCTGACAACAACAACAACAACTGGTCCTCTGGTATTCGGTGTTTTTCTTCTATATCATAGTTATTTATGCCATTATGCCTATGAAAATTTTTGATTGAAACTTTTTTTGTTGGTACCCAGAACACATGTGCCAAAAAATTAAAAGATGGTTCAATTTGTTTTAGAAAATATAACTTCAGAGCTGTTTCTCTGTTGATATCTGTGATGTCAGATTGGTTAATTGTATTAGATGCCATAGTTATGTAATTTCTTTCATTATTAAGAAGCAAATTCATCAACCTCCAGAGATATCTATCTGAAGGAAATATGGTGATATTTTACATTTTGATAAATCTTGGTGAAAGGTCTATGTGCTGGTATATTTATTTAAAAAATATACTCAAAAAACATCTTCAAAATTACAAACTAAAACAACAGTTTAGAAAGGGACCTCAGTATAAAGTCTTCTCAAGGATTAGAAAATGAAAACTTTAGGTTTTGATTAGGTTATGAAGGAACTTCAGAAAGTTTGCGGAAATAATAAAACATAATGGAACTTTTCTATGAACTTTTTGAAGTCCATTTGTATGTTTCTGACTCATTATGTCTTTATTTTAGCTATTAAATCTGTTTGCTTTTTTTTTTTTTTTTTTTGTTCCATTGTGAATTAAGTGAAGTTTACAGAGCAGATCATCAGTTTTACACTCAGCAAATCATACACTATGTCACATGCTGAGTGCAAAGGAGAAGGCTTGAAAAGTTTGTGAGGAAATGGAATGAAAAGATAATGGGATTTTTTTTTTTTTTTTTTTTGCAGCCCCTTTTTGCTTTAGAATACAAAGAAGTATTTTCTGAAAATGGGTGGAACGTATATGATCCTCTTTTAGAGTATAGACGGCAGGTATGTACTTTTCTTTTTTAATTTAGTACTTTAGGTTCTTTTCACTACCAAAAACACACACACACACACACACACACAAAACACCCAGAAAACAAACAACAAAAATACTACTTAATAGATAGAAATAAGCAGCTTTCTATAGTTAAAAAAATTTTTTAAATTGTTTTTAAAGTGTCTGAAAGCAAATCCTGGTTGTTTGACTTTTTCAGTTTCTTTTGAGCAGCCTTTCAGAATAAGTAAATGATGTTGTGTGCATCTTTATTTCTTACAAGTATATTAGTTTATTTTTTATAAAATTTTTAAACATTTGAAAAAAAAAAAAAATTAGTATATGTGGTGGTGGTGGTGGCTGTGTGCCGTGGATTCGGTTCCGACTCATAGTGACCCTGCACAGGGTTTCTGAGGCTGTAAATCTTTATGGGAGCAGAAAGCCTCATCTTTCTCCCACGGAACAGCTGGTAGTTTGAAACTGCTGACCTTGTGGTTCACAGCCCAGTTCATAGAGGCTTTATTAGTTTTGTATGTATTCAGAATTTTTTACTTAGATTTTTTTCCCCTCATATGTGTTTCCAATTTCAGGTATTCTATTATTTAATTCTGAATAATACCTAAATAGTTCTGTTACTTATAAATTACCTTTACATAAACTTTTGAAAGTTTCACATCTTAACAGAGTCACACTCAGGGTAGCATTGACTTGCTTGCTCAGTACAACTGTAAGAACACCCTCTCTACCTTTTAACATGAATTCATATTTACTGTATTATTCTATGAGGGGACTGCATAAAAAACTTAGCTTCTATTAGTAGTTTTCTTCAAGTAATCTCAGCAGTCCTTTTCTTCCAGCACTTAAGTATGTCATCCCTCTGCCTTCCAGCCTCCATGGTTTCTACTGAGAAATCAATATTTAATCTTACTGAGGTTCACTTATATGAGGGAGTTTCAAAAAGTTCATGGAAAAATGGATTTAAAAGGTAACAGAATTTTCCCATGAACTTTTTGAAGCCTCCTCATATGTTGATGGTTCAGTTCTCTCATGCTGCTTTCAAAATTCTGTCTTTGTGTTTGGATTTTGACAGTTTGATTATGATGTGAATGCATTTATCATATATGGAGTTCTTTGAGCTTCTTGGTTGAGAAGACTCATGTCTTTCATCAAATTTGGGAAGTTTTTGGCCATTGGGTTTTCTGATCCTCTCTTCTCTGCTGAGATGCCCACATTGCAGATGTTGGTTGAATTCATTGTGTCTCACAAGTCCTTTATGCTGTGCTTACTTTTCTTCTTAATTTTTGCTGTTTCTCTCCTCAGACGCAGTAATTTCAATTATCCTATTTTCAAACTCACTAATTTTATCTTTTGCCTGCTCAAACCACTGAACTCCGTAGTGAACATTTTCTCTTTATTGATGTTCTTTTTTAAATGATGTTTTATTTTACTAATTTTCATTTGTTCTTTGTGTTTTCCTTTAGCTCTTTGATCATATTTAATAGTTATCTCAAAAGTTTTTGTTTAGTAAGTCCATTTTCTGGGCTTACTCAGGATAATTTCTGTCATTTAATTTTTCTTTCTAATAGTACCTCTTTTCTGTTATTTTGTATGCCTGGTTATTTTTTTTTTTACTGAAAACTAGATATTTACATTTTATAAAGTGGCAGCTCTAGAAATCACACTTTCTGCCTTCCTCTCAGGTTTGCTGTTTTGTTTGGTTTGGGTTGTTGAAAGTCCATTTGTTTCATCCCTTTCCCTATCTATTTTTATGAAGACTGCTTTCCTAGACATGAGTAGTCACTGAAGTCTCTGATCTTAGTTTGTGTCCAACTACTGTGTTGGAGTTCTAGTTTGGCGCTGTAGGACTAACACTAGACTGTAAGGTTTGAGGTTCAAATTCACCATTTGCTCCTTGGAAACCCTATACAGGGTTTCTATGAGTCATAATTGACTCAACGGCACTTAATAACAATAATTGTGTTGGCAGAGAACAAAACAAAACAAAATACCTTTCCCAGTAGTTCTAGATTGACTGTGCTAGGGCTTTCAATCAACACTTTGCCAGGCTTGCACCGATCCTAGGCATCAGCCTGAGGGGACAGTATAGAGTCTTCTCAGATATTTATTTGAGCATGCCTCTTGCCCTGGGCATTTGTGTGGCTTTCTAAATTTCCCAAAGAAGTAGGTCCTCCTCCCTGTACTTCGGTGTGTGTTGTGTATCTGAATCGTATGCTCTAGCTCCATCCAGGTGGCTACAGGTGGTGATGGTATATGGGCAAAGCTTATCCATATTTCACTTTATGCCTTTGATAAAATCGGCAACACTTTTAATAGCTAATTATTTATTTTTCATAAGTGATATTTTATTGTTTGTTTTTAGGGTCGGAACAGAGACATTGTGAACAATTTGTATACCAAAAACCTAAGACCCACCCATTTAGTTATAATTATCTTCTAAATTCCAGTGACTTTCCAGTTTAAATTTGAAGGCAAATGTTACTTTATGCCAAAATTTTCAAATGCCAGTATCTTCAATTGTTGACTATTAAATTCTACTAATTCACAATTTAAGGCACTCTGGTAGCGTGGTGGTTATGAATCAGGCTGTGAACCTCAGGGTCAGCAGTTCGAAACTACCACCTGTTCTGTGGGAGAAAGATGAGGTGTTCTGCAGCCTTGGAAACCCTGTACAGGATCGCTATGAGTCGGAACTGACTCCATGGCACATAACAACAACAACAATTCACAATTTAACATCAAGTACTTAATACACACTAACATTTTCAACCTTTCACAGCATATAACAATGTTATGAGGAAAACGGGACTGTTATGACCAAAGATGTCACAGAACGCACACAGTTCTGACAGGCAGAGTGAAAATTAGTGAAAAACAGCATGGAAATAGAATTGAAAATGTTCAAGTCATACAAATGCATGACCGTGACTCCCAGTTGCCATTAAGTATGCTTTGTATTATGGGATATAAAACTCCCTGCCACCAATGGAATGTTAAGTTGATGCCTAAGATAGTCAAAACCTCCTATCAGTCAACAACATCCCACTATTTTCTGCTTGCACCAAAAAATACACAACCGGGAAATGATTTCACCTGTGTAAAAAAGCATTTACACATAAAAAATCTGATGACGTGGAATGTCCTCCTTAAAAATGTTTCTAGAGCTACTAAAAATCTTGCATATAATAGAGTTGATAAAAATATTCCCCTGGATTGTACAAGAAGAAAGATAACAGGATCCACTGATATGGCATGGTGGACACATTAATCCGACTTGGCTTCTCTCTCTCCTGCTTCACCAGAGGCTGGAATCTCCTTGTTTTTAGTTTCTCCATTTTCAGCAGGTAAATCTTCTTTAGTTTCTTGGTTAGCCACATCTGCCTGTTTTCCCTTTGCTCCCCTTTTCCCTTCTGTTTGCACTTTTTTTGGTCTGTGGATTTATCCTTTCCGACTGCTTTCTTTGGCTTCATTTCCACTTTTGCAGGAGCAGGGTTTGCTGACAATCAAACTGATCTCTTGGGCCCCTCCTCCACTGCTCTTTCCCCACCTCCCCCAGCTGACCTGTGGTATTAATAGCTATTTAAATTGTTATGTAGTAGAGTGCTTTTTATTTACTTTTTAACATATGTATTAAGTAGAAAGAGGACCCTGGAATTTGTGGATTGGACAAGAAAAATGATCATTTCATAAAGATAGTAAAAATTCCTTGTAAAGACAATAAGCATGGTACTCTGTAGAAATATGCAACTATAAGTTACAGGTGTATTGCTTAACAAACTTGGAAAGTATCCAAGTTTAGTCAAGGAAATAAAAATCTATTCTCAGAATTGTAATGTAAATAACTAAGGAAAATTATACTCCAGTTATTTTGTTTGTAACTTGACTATGAAAATGGATATATATTAACTGTGAGGGCCTGGCAAGTGGATACATTAACTGAAAGGCATAGGTTTGAGTGGAAATATGAAAATGGACACAGAACATTAACAGTATTCATTATGTCATTAGCATTGTCTAAGTGGGAGTGTATACTAGCTGTCTTAGTTAACTAATGCTCTACAGAAATAACACAGATGGATGGTTTTAACAAATAGGAATTTATTTTCTCACCTTTTAGGAGGCTGGAAATCTGAAATCTTATGAGTACTGAATGAGGGGAAGACTTTCTTTTCCCTGCCAGCTCTGGAGGAATGTCCATGTCTCCTTTTAATATCTGTGGGCCTGGTGTTCATTGGAGATCTGCATGTATTCTTGGCATCAGTCTTACCCTAAGTCAGGGATTGTTGTCATTGTTGTTTTTAAATGCCGTCGAGTGGGTTCCAACCCATAGTGACCCTGTATAGGGTTTCCAAGGAGTGGCTAGTGAGCTTGAATTGTCGACCTTGTAGTTCAAACTGACTTTTCAGCCCAACACATTAACCCCAAAGCACCATACCAGGACTCCAAGTCCGGGGTGAGGACGCTTTTTTTCTGTTAAGGGCTATTTGGATATTTATAAGAGCATTAATGGACCATACACAATTATCAACATAAAAATTGGCCAGCTATATTTGGTCAAACATTTAATTAACTCACCCCTTATGTGATAGTTGGAGTCCTGGTGTGGCGCTGTGCATTAATGCACTGGACTACAAAGTCTGTTTGAACTGCAAGGTTGGCAGTTCAAGCTCACCAGCTGCTCCTTGTAAACCCTGTACGGGGTCATTATGGGTCAGAACCAACTCGACAGCACTTAGCAACAACAACAGTGTGATAGTTGAAACGGCGGTTGCCTTGATAGGGCCAGACCAAATGATTTCAAGAGCCTTGTCTGGCCCTTGGGTTGGACGTTCCCCACCCCTGCTTTAAGTATAGGAGGTTCTCAGTGCAGAGCCCCTAAGTCCAAAGGACAGGCTCTACTCTCAGCTCTACTTTCTTTATGGTAGGCAGGTCCCTCTGATCTCTGCTAGATTATTTCTTCTTTTATCTCTTATAAGATCAAAGATACTAGAGGCTACTCCCATGAGAAATGTCCTTTGCATCCCATCTTCTTGTTAAGGGCCTTAGAGTTGGTTCCAACTCAGAGCAACCCTTTAAAAGGTTTCCAAGGAGCAGCTGGTGGTTTTGAACTGCCGACCTTGTGGTTTGCAGCACAGTGCTGATCCTACAGCACCACACCAAGATCCACATCTTATCTTAATCCCCTTACAGTATATTGGCAGATCATGTCATGGGGATGGTTGCATAATTACATAGCTGCCAAATTATATCATTTTATAGCATCCAAGCCAGTGAGAAAACCATGGCCCAGCCAAGTTGACATATATTTTGTGGGGACATAATTCAATCCATGAGACTATCCAACTTCAGTTTTCCGCATGGAAGACAATTCCTTTACTGGAGATATATTTTTGCTTACTGCTCTTTCCTTTTCTAATGTTTTTACATTAACAGCATTCTCATTAGTACTCTACTATAGGAGTGGAAATTCACTTTCACTGTGTGTGAACTATTTATAGTATATTCTGATGGATACTTGGTTTCTGTCAAACTCTCATTGTATAGACGTTGTTATGTACCTTTGAATTGGTTCCAACTCATAGCAACCTTGTATAGGGTTTCCAAAGAGTGGTTGGATAGGACATATCTTATAGTGCCACACAGTAAAATCAATCATCTGATATAACTGAAGGAGATTTTTTTTCTTTTAAGATGAGTGGCATTTGTATTCTTCCTGTTTCCATCTTTTCCCATGCATGTGCATAGAACAGACTCAACATTCAATCAATATTTAATCCATTGGCATTGGATGTCAAAATGAACACAGGGATCCCTATATTAGAATTTTTAATTTTGAATGACCTGGTAACCACAGGCACATAGTAACTATTCCAACTGCTTTAAGAGATGGACAGTAGAGATGAAAGAGGTTGCATAGAATGGCTTCTCTTCTGGTACCTTTTAATGTTTTAATTAGGTAGTAATTTATCCTATGTTTTATTTCACATCTAGGGAATTCCTAATGAAAGCTGGAGAATAACGAAGATAAATGAACGATACGAGCTGTGTGATACATACCCCGCTCTCTTGGTTGTGCCAGCAAATATTCCTGACGAAGAATTAAAGAGAGTAGCATCCTTCCGATCAAGGGGCCGTATCCCAGTAAGTGTGAAGCTCAGATGGGACTTTGCAAATGCTTTCGTATTGTACCTAATACTGAAATTAGTGCCTTGGAGAATGGAAAGCTCACACAGAAAGCAGGACACAAATAAGGATGCAGAATGAAAGTAGTTACAGCAGTAGGACTTTTCTCAGAGATTGAGTTATTTAGTTAAAATCAAACTGGAGGGAAAGCTTAAAAGACCCCTAAGGAGAATATGACAAGAATTTTAGAGAAATGCATAGAATTGTCTGATTTGTAACTGGAAAACAGAGTTGGCTCTGTGCATTATTCACTGGTTCTTTATCATGGTCATAACTGCTGTTTTGCTTTTTTAGTCCTAGAAAACACAAAATTTTACAATTTTGTGGTGAATGCCTGGATCCTGTGGCAAATGAGTTTAAGATGAATAATAATATTCTGAAGACCTTGTAGTTGGCCAGTTTTTCTGATGAGTCATAAAATTTTAAAAAGTAGTGTTTACTTGGCCTCTATTACTATATATTTTTTCTAGAAATACCACTTCCCAATAATCTGTGATTGATAAATAAATTGTTGTTGTTGTTGTTTTTAAGTACTATGGAGTTGGTTCCGACTCATAGTGACCCTACACAGGGTTTCCGAGGCTGCAGATCTTTACGGGAGCAAAAAGCCTCATCTTTCTCCTGCAGAACAGCTGGTAGTTTTGAACTGCTGACCTTGTGGTTAGCAGCCCGATTCATAACCACTACGCTACCAGAGCTCCTTCATAAATAAATACTGGATTAAGAAAATTAGACCCCGTTTTCCAGATGCTAGACGTGACTGTAAAGAAAAGTGATGATTTTTCCTCAGGTATCCTTTCATGGGCAGGTTCTACATCTGAGAAAGTAGAACTCTTTACTGTTTTTGGGGAGCGTTATATAAAGTCTGTGTCACCATTTTTTCTTCTATATAAGGTTTTATCATGGATTCATCCTGAAAGTCAAGCCACAATCACTCGATGTAGCCAGCCCATGGTAGGAGTCAGTGGGAAGCGAAGTAAAGAAGATGAAAAATACCTTCAAGCTATCATGGATTCCAATGCCCAGTCTCATAAAATCTTTATATTTGATGCCCGGCCAAGTGTTAATGCTGTTGCCAATAAGGTGAGACTGTCTCTCTCTCAGTCATTAAGTTTGTCATAAGTTGCATGAATTTAGCTGAGTGTGGCAGGGGCCACAAGATAGTGGAAAGAGCTCGGGCTGTAGAATGATAAAGATGCAGGTTCCAATCCTGGCTTTCCTCTTTTGAAAAATGAAAATAGAAAGGTATCAGAGTTGCTTTAAGAATGAAAAAAATCATTGAATAAAATAGAATGCATAACCATGTGCTTACCCCGACCCACTGCCAAACTGATCCCAATTCCTAGCTACCCTATATATAGGACAAAGTAGAGCCACCCCATAGAGTCCCCAAGGCTGTAAATCGTTTCCCATCACCATATCTTTCTCCTGCAGAGCACCTGGTAGGTTCAAACGACTAATCTTTTGACTAGCAGCTGAGTTGCTTTATCTGCTTCACCAACAGGGTTCTTTAACCATATGCTTAATTGCACATTAAATTGTTAGAAATTCTTAGTTTATCTCTCCTGTCTCCAATCTTTATATTGAGGAGAGCTTAAGTTTTCTATAGTCCTGCTGTGAGAATAGTGAAACAGTGTTATCACTGACCCATCACCTCTGACTTCGTCCACCTGTCTGAGTTATTTAATCTCTGAAGAACTTGCAGTTAGCTGTAGTGATGTTACTGGTTTCTGCTGTAAATATTTGCATTGTGAAAGTAGAAGTTCTGATTCCTATGACACAATCTAGCAAAGAAAAAGAGAAACAAGTACAATTGAGCTTTAAAAACTTCTCTCTGCTTTACAACCAATAAGTAAGTAATACATATATTTTGCTTGGAGTCCTGGTATGGTGCTGTGGGTTAATGTGCTAGATTGCAAAGTTGGTTTATATCGCAAAATTGGCTATTCAAGTTCACCATCTGCTCCTTGGAAACCCTATACAGGGTTGCTATAGGTTGGAACCTACTCAACCTACTCAACGGCACTTAACAACAACAACAACAACATCTGACCCTCCATCTTACCCAGCATGACATCCTTCTCTAGCGACTGTTCCCTCCTGACAATATGTCCAAAGTATAAGAAACGAAGCTTAGCCATCCTGGCCTCCAAGGAGCACTCTGGCTGCACTTCTTCCAAAACAGATCTATTGGTTCTTTTGCCAGTCCATGGCACTTTTAGTATTCTCCTCCAACACCACAACTCAAAGGCATCAATTCTTCTACGATCTTCCTTATTCACTGTCCAGCTTTCGCATCCATATGAGGTTATTGAAAACACCATGGCTTGGGTCAGGGGCACCTTAGTCCTCAAGCTGACATCTCTGCTCCTTAACACTTTAAAAAGTTCCTGTGCAGCAGATTTGCCCAATGCAATATGTCGTCTGATCTCTTGACTGCTGCTTCCGCGAGTGTTGATAGTTGATCCAAGAAGAATGAAGTCCTTGACAACTTCAGTCTTTTCTCCGTTGATAAGAATGTTGTTTATTGGTCCAGTGGTGAGGATTTTTGTTTTCCTGACATTGAGATGCAACCCAAAGTCTGTGTTCTTTGATCTTCATCAGTAAATGTTTCAAGTCCTCTTCACTTTCAGCAAGCAAGGTTGTATCATCTGCATATCGCAGGTTGTTAGTGAATCTTCCTCCATTCCTGACGCCACGTTTTTCTTCATAGAACCCAGCTTCTCGTATTATTTGCTCAGCATACAGGTTGAATAAGTATGGTGAAAGAACATAACCTTGTCGCACACCTTTCCCAATTTTAAAACATTCAGTGTTCCCATGCTCTGTTCGATCAACTGCTTCTTGGTCCAGGTACAGATTCCTCAGAAGTACAATTAAGTGTTCTGGAATACTCATACTTCTCAATGTTGTCCATAGCTTGTCCTGAGCCACACAATGGAAAGCCTTTGCATAGTCAATAAAGCATAGGTAAACATCTTTCTGATAGTCTCTGCTTTCAGCCAAGATCCACCGGACATCAGCAATGATATCTCTTGTTCCACGGCCTCTCCTGAATCCAGCTTGAATCTCTGGAAGTTCTCTGTCAATGTATGATTGTAGCCATTTCTGTATTACCTTTAGCAAATCTTTGCTCGCGTGTGATATCAAAGAGATTGTCCGATGATATCCGCATTCTGTTGGGTCACCTCTCTTTGGAATGGGCACAAATATGGATCTCTTCCAATCAGTCGACCAGATAGTTGTCTTCCAAATTTCTTGGCAGAGATGAGTGAGTGCCTCTTTGTGCTGCCTCACTTTCTTAAAAGATTTCAATTTTTATTGCATCAATTCCTGGTGGTGCCTTGTTCTTTGCCAATTCTTTCAATGCACTTTGTACTTCCTCCCTGAGTATCATTGGCTCTTGTTCATATGGTACCTCATATATTGTTTAATATGTTTTATTTGCCATTATATATATTGCTTATTATGTCTTATATTCCATTATTTTTTAATTATAAGTATTTAACCTCCCTGTGCTCATATGTATCCATTTTAAGAGGAACTATTTAAAACCGTTAACCCCTGTTACTAAAGAGAAACCCCATTAAATCTTGTTATACTTCCAGAGTTGTGTATATGCATGCACATATATATTTGAAACAAAAGTGGGATAATTGTGACTTCTCTTTTTAGTTGACACTCAGGGTCGCTATGGGTTGGAACCGACTGGACGGCACTTAACAACAACAATAAACATGGCATTAAGTATTATGCAACATTAATTTTAATTGTATGAGAACTAGTCAGTGCAGCTGTTATTGGATATATTTGTTGGGTTTGATTTTTGTTGTTGTTATGTAAACATTACCAGAGTGACCATTCTTTTAATTAAATTGTAGAGCATTTATCTAATTACTTTCATCCTGCTTATCTTTTTAATTGCAATTTGAGTTCCAGGCATTCCCTATTAAATTGTGAGTATTCCCCCTTACTGGAGTCAGGGGAGGGTTATGGCATCCTAAACCTTTATCAGTTACTGCTGTTGTTATAGGGCATAAAGATAAAGTGATACAAGGTGTGTGGAAAGGCAGTAGCCCGGGGTCAGTCGTGCAGTCTCCCAGTGATTGCTGGTTTCCCTTCCTAAATTTTATACTAGGAATTAGAAATGATATTTAGGATTGTTTTCTAAAAAGGGAGCCCAGGGAATGAAGACTTTATGACAGAATAGGAGGACAGGGTAAAATGTTGTATTCTTCATTTTGTTATTCTTTTTCAATCATTCACATACATGCCTTTATGAATTTATGAAAGTATGTATCCTTCTTGCAACCATTGTTTTTTACTTCCGTAGTAAGACTTTTTTTTATATATAACTTGATGAATTGTGTGTGACAGATATTCTTCTGACCCCATGACTCAAGAATTAAAATTTGCCAGCCACCGAGCTCTCAGTGTATCCCCACTCCAATCACAATGATTCTGTACCCTGCTGAATGTAACCACTCTGCTAGTTTTTGTAATAATCGCTTCCTTGCATTTCTTTCTACTTTTATTACCAAAATATATATGCCTGGTCTCTACAGTTGAGTCCTCCCTTCACCCATCTCTTCTTTTTTTTTTAAGTTTGTCTGTAGAATATTTTATAATCTCAATTTTGCTGATTGCCTACTTGGTTATGTGGTCAGCTTTTTTCTATCTGAATTTCCTTCAGATTTGGTTTATTCATATTTTGTTTCAATCCTTTTGACGAGGTGGTACTAGGGAATCTTGGTGGCACAATGGTTAAGTGTGAAAGATGCCAGACTGCTTCTTAAACATGACAACCTTGGTAACATTTTGGGGCAGTTCTAGTTTGTCTTTAATAGGATCACTATGAACTGGAATCATTCTGATGGCCGTGGGTTTGTTTTGGGGGTTGGTGGAGGAGTTACATCAGGAGGCATATATTGTCTGCTTGATTCTCCTTTTTGGAATGTTAGAAACTGTTAATGCTAAGTACTTAGATATACTTCACTTCATTAAGGTTTGAAAAATGGTGATATTCTAACTTCATGATATTCCACTTGAACTCTTTCTCTAACCTGTTTTTGTAAAGATGTACTTGATCTTATCTGTATTTTCATTAACAAGTGGTTGAATTCATGTAAGAAAAACAGGGTAAGTGCTTGATTCCCTTATTTATGAATTTCCCAATATTGAATGTGCTCCCTACCATCTCCTGAGGATAGCTAATTTTTCAAAGTATTAGTAGGAACCAGTATATTTGAATGTATTTGATATTTTTTAACCTATTGCAGATGTTTATTTTTGAAGTTAAAATTTGTGTCATCTTGGGAGCCTTTGAGTGAGGGTGGACAGTCCTGGTTTATAAAGCAAAACCAGGAGATAGAGAGTGAGTGTGCTAAATTGTGCCCTTAGTCACCCTCAGTTTCTACTGAGATTTTCTTCTTGCAGTTAGTTACCATTGAGTTGATCCCAGCTCATGGTGACCCATGTTTTACAGAGTAGAACTGTTCCAAAGGGTTTTCTTAACAGAACCAGATCACCAGGACTATTTTCCATGGTACAACTGGGTGGATTCTGGGTGGAACCTTTAGTCTTTAGGTTTGCAATCATTTTATGTTTTGTTTTATGACACTTTGTAACAGATGCTCATGTATAGTGGATGTATATTTATTTATTATTTCCTTTTATATGTGCTCTTTTCCAGGCAAAGGGTGGTGGTTATGAAAGTGAAGATGCTTACCAAAATGCAGAACTAGTTTTTCTGGATATCCACAATATTCACGTTATGAGAGAATCATTACGAAAGCTTAAAGAGATTGTATACCCCAACATTGAGGAAACTCACTGGTTATCTAACTTGGAATCTACTCACTGGTTAGAACACATTAAGGTGAGTATATGCTACTATTTTCTTATATCATTATAGAATATCAAACCAGAATGTTCTTTGCTCCTTTGCCTGTTTTGGCTGTTTGTCTGCTAATATTATGTATGAAGCACCAAACAACATATTTGAGTAAATATGTTGTTGTTGCTAAGTGCCATTGAGTTAGTTCTGACTCATAATGACTCTGTATAAGGTTTCCAAGGAGCAGCTGATGGGTTTGAACTGCTGACCTTATGGTTCAAAGACCAAATGCTGATCTACAGTGCCACACCTGGAGTCCTTAAGTTAATATAGTTATGTATATTTTCAGATATGATCTGATTTTCATTAACATAATAAAGACATATGATGTATGAATATAGTAGTTGTTGTTAAATGCCGTCAGGTCAGTTCTGACTCATAGCGACCCTGTATGGGGTTTCTGAGAAGCAGCTGGTAGGCTTGAAATGCCAACTTTGGGGTTCACAGTCCAATGCTGGTCTTCAAGCACCACATCAGGAGTCCTTATTAGTAATCTGTGTTCTTGTTAAGTGCTGTCGAATCATTGTGACCCTGTATAGAGTTTCTAAGGAGTGGCTGGTGAGTTTGAACCACTGACCTTGCAGTTCAAACTGACCTTGTAGTTCAGTGCATTATCCTGCATTGCCACACTAGGACTCCTGATACTATAATGGTATAATTATATTTATATTAATAGTCTGAAATAATGAGAAATGCAGATTTTCATGTTAGGAAGGAGCATACTTGCATTCACATTAAAATCTCTAAAATGCTGACAAAATTGAGGAGATGGCCAAACTGAACTAATGAGAATTATAAACTATTTTTATTATCATTATCTTCTACCATGGAATGTAGCAAAATTTAGGCATTCCTCAATCAGAGATCATGTACATGTGCCCCATCTATTTAAAATGTTTGGTGTGCAAGTATGAAAAATGTAAGTCTTAATTTAGGCCTAGCATAAGGTGCTATGTTCCCTTCTCAAAATTCCAGGTCATTTCACCACCAGGTACATTTTCTCCAAAGGGCTGGCAATAAGAGAAATGAGTATAAGAAGTACAGTTGTGCCAAGAATACGCTCTCCTCCTTCAGCTCTCACACTCTTAAGGCTTATCCACTCTGTCTTCTCAGATCTCTGCTCAAATATCACCTTCTCAGAGAGACCTTTCCCAACCTCTCTAGAAAAAGCAGCAGCTCTGCCAGCACTCTCTATACCCTGTGTGGAGTGCTTTCATGTTTTGCCATTTGTCATGCTGTATATTTCCTTGGTTATTTGCATATGGTTGGTCCCCCAAATAGAATGCCAGCTTCACTAAGCAGACACTATGTCTGCTTTCTGTAGCACCTAGATCAGGGCCTGTCACATAGTGCTGGTGGTTTATGTGCTATGGAGTCAGTACTAACTCATAGCAATCTTGTACAGAGTTTCTGAGGCTGTAAATCTTAATAGGAGTAGAAAGCCTCATCTTTCTCTCTGGAATGGCTAGTAGTTTCGAACTGCTGACCTTGAGTTTACCAGCCCGATTCATAACCACTCTGCTACCAGAACTCCTTTGTCACATAATAAGGGGCTCCAAACATGGTTATTTAATTAATGAATTACTTAAGGTTATGACTGTGAATAACTAACTCGTGGTCAGTCTTATCCTGCCAACTCTTCTAAATCTTTGCTTGGTTCAGTTATTATTAAGTATGGATATCCATTTGAATCATTGATGGAATGTACTTAAAATAGTACGTGTCATGAAGGAAGGGAACCAGACATTTTTTGTTTAAATGCTCATGGATGACTGATCACAGTCAAGATCGAGATGGATTCAGAAAAAGCCATTTCTAGAACACATCTACAGTTATGATTAAAAGGAGGTTGTCATGGTTATCTCCAAGTCTAGTAAGCCTATTATTTCTTCATTTTGAATTCTTTAAGTGCCATTGCAAATGGCAATCTTGCTATTGCAAAGAAGAATGGAACTATATTATCCATTATTAAAAATACTGTTTTTTTTCCTTTTTTTCTTTTTGGCCTTGTGTAAACTCAGTCTGGTTTTAACTCAAGATCAATTTCAGAAAAAGTTATTTTTCAGAGAATATCTGTCTACTTAAAAAATGAGTTAAAGTTATTTTAACTCTGGTAAGTTGACATGATAATATATTGATCTCATGAGAATATTTATGCATGCTATATCACAGAAAATAACTTAAAAGATTTATACTGTACTTGCTATGTGCTATGTGATTTGTATAAAACTATTTGGTTGAAACAGTAAATGCTATATATTATTTTAAAAGATTTTCAGTTTTACTGCTTTCAGATGTACTTATTCTAGTTTGGCAAAATAAGCATTGTTTTGGAATCCTGGTGTGGTGCTGCAGGTTAATGCGTTGAACTGCAAGGTCAGTTTGAGCTGCAAGGTGGTCAGTTTAAATTCACCAGCCCCTCCTTGGAAAGCCTATACTAGGCCACTGTGTATTGAAATCGACTCGACAGCATTTAACAGCATCAACAACAAGCATTGTTTTCAACAATTGTTATATTGATTTTTTAAATTTAAATTTATGATATTGAAATATTTCAAAATTCTTAGAAGCAGATACTTTGAAAACATAATCCTTTTTGTTTTCTCATAGTCATCTGTTTGTTTCGCACTTGAATATACTTTTTATTTGGTTATTTCATTGTTTAAATTAATAGGTGTCTGCATATATGCATGTGAAGTTTTCCTAGTTTTAAAAGAAAATTCATGTATCTTCTACTATTTACCAGGGAGTCCTGGTGTGGCACTGTAAGATAAGCACTGGACTGCTAACCATAAGGTCAGCAGTTCAAACCCACTAGCCTCTCCATGGAACCCTAAACAGAGTAGCTATGAGTTGGAACCAACTCAACGTCACATAACAACAACAACCATTTACAAAAATTCTTTGTAGGAAGGGAGAGATCTTTTTCTCCCCACTTTTAGAAGTCCTGGTGTGGCGCTGTAGGAAAGCACTGAACCTAAGGTTGGCAGTTCAAACCCAAGTTTTGAAGAAGCCCTCTATAGGGTCCCTATTTTAAATTTGTAATTTAAAAATCTGTTTTCCAGCTTATTCTTGCAGGGGCTCTTAGGATTGCTGACAAGGTCGAGTCAGGGAAGACATCTGTGGTAGTACACTGCAGTGATGGTTGGGACCGCACAGCTCAGCTAACTTCCCTGGCCATGCTCATGTTGGATGGATTCTATAGAACCATGCGAGGATTTGAAGTCCTTGTAGAGAAAGAATGGCTCAGCTTTGGTCATCGATTTCAACTAGTGAGTAAAAAACCTTGATATATCACATGCATCTCACATAAGGCATGCAAAATTTATGCTTTTACTCATTAGATATTCATCTGAAAACTGATCACTTATTTTGGGACAGTAAATCCCTCAAGAGGATTTTTTGTTGGTTTTTGGAAGCATTAGGATATCCTAAAATGACTGCAGTCTGGAGTCAGGACTGGCAGTTTGTCCAACTTCTGACACCTCTCTTTTGTGGTCTCTACCAGGAGATATCAGATATCACGGAGTGATTTCTATGGATCTTTCAACCCACAAACAATAGTTCAGATTCATAGGAAAGCCCTAGAATTGCAAGGCACTTTTAGCTTATCCTGTAGACTTATAAAAAGGTGAAAATGGAAAAATAAAAAAAGATGAAAATGGCTTATTTATTTATTGTTCTTAATTTCAAGTAGCCTTACAGAATAATAACATTGCTCATAGAGGATCAGAGCCTCAAATAATAATTAAGTTGGACTAAAAGAAATAATAAAGTAAGAATAAAAGTTTTACCCAGAGTTGAAATTAAAATACTTTGGTACTAAAACTAGTTTTATGAAAAAGACAAATGTTTGAACCCTCTTTAAGACTCAAAATTATTTTTGATATTAGTACTATTATCAAATATCAGACTTGGAAGGATGTCAGAATCTAAGAAATCATTCTTACTTGAATGTCTTCTTTGGTCAAATGATATTTTTGTTTCATTGATACCTCCGGAAGTAAAAGCACGTCCCTTCCTGAGGTTATCCAGTCTCACTTTTGAAAGTCTATCTGCTGAAAACTTCCTCCTAATAGTGAACTGAAATTGTCCTAGACTCCCTCTGAAGACATGAGAAGAATAATTATGACTCCTTTTCCAACATGAAGATAACCCTTGAAATATTTGAAAACTGCTCTCAACTCATCTGACCAATTATCTTCAGTTGTTGAGGTTGAATGTTTCTTTTCTCATTCATCTGAAGCCCCTCACCATCCCAATTGTTCTCTGGACTTTGTCCATGGCTTTCTACAAATGTAGTACCCAGAATAGCTACCGTTCGTTCCTTAAATACAGTTGTTGTTGTTGTTAAGCGCCGTTGAGTCGGTTCCGACCCATAGCGACCCTGTACAGGGTTTCCGAGGGTGTAAATCTTTACAAGAGTAGAAAGCCTCATCTTTCTCCTGCGGAGTGGCTGGTAGTTTCGAACCGCTGACCTTAAGGTTCGCAGCCCGATTCAATGGAGCTATTATATCCCTTTTAAAAGATACTATCGTTTTGTATACCCCCTCAAACCCCTTTTGCCGTAGTTTGGATTCACAGAATTTAGAGTGAATTAAATATTCAAGTAGCTTTCTGATTTTCTTCTCCTAAGCTCAGTAATTAAACACAGAATAAAACACTAAATTTGGAATCAAAGAATTTGGAAATGGTGTTCTTACTGGCTTTGACATTCCCATGTATTGTTCTTATGTGTTAGTTGTTGTCACAGAATTTAGGGAGTTCTTGTTCCTAGGCAGGAGGAACAGGGATGGGAATGAGCATGGTGAGAGTACATTTGGGGAGGGTGGGTTTACACAGTTACATAGAGATCTCTGCGCTAATTAGGTCTCGGTTTCTGGGGAAACCTTTTCCAAGAATGACTGAAAAACTTCCTGAAAGATGTTTACCCAGGCATTGTCTCTCATGTTAACTTTTAGTATGTAACTGGTTACCAGGGTATGCCAGCAAGCAATATTATAAATAACTAGAAGGTATAGTCATTTAAAGTTGATCTGCTGTTTGGAAATGAACTGTTAGGTGTCTGGATGGAGTATGTTCACATGATTAATGCAGAACAATGATTCTTTACCTTTTTTGTTGATGATGATCCTAAGAACTTTGTTTATGTAGGGTATACCTATTAATCCTGTTCATATTAGAAATTAAATGAAAGAAATTGAAAATATTTATTAACTTAAAAAAAAAAAAAAGCACAATACACAATATCCAAGGGGGAATCAAAAAGTTAATGGAAAAATTCCATTATCTTTGAATTCCATTTCTATGAACTGTTTGAAACCCCTCTTATATTAATACATATAGCATTTTTATGAAAATTGTCTATTTTTTCTAAAACAAAATAAAGTTTAATGAAAAAGTGGCATTGTTTTACATTCTTGCACACATCTTTAATGAAGACAATGTAATGTTCATATCTACTTTTGCACTTAATCTGTTGTGGTATGTGCTGTTGATTGAAGTACAGTGAAATCTTTGAGTACTGGAATTAGCTGGGATGGCCTTGCTTTTTCAGGTTTCCACCTCTAACAGTGCAGTCTTACTACATTTGTATTGCTCAGTTTAGTGGAAAATAGTTGATCTTTCCATCTCACACAGGCTCCAGCTTTCGGAAGTTACTCTGTATAAAAAATTCTACACAGAACTGTAGGTGGAAAGGGAAAACTATTTTACTTAATAGCGTTTACAGATAACTGAGGATATTTTGTTTTGTTTCATGACACCAAACCAGGCAAGTTTCTTAAAGGTTAGTTGCAATGTAGACTCCAAAACCAAAACCACCAAATCGGTGAATTGTTTTTGCATTGTTTACTAAATTCCATTGGTTTTGTCTTGGAATTTGAAAAGTTTTTTTTTTTATCCATGCATAATTTTGTTGCATTGTATATTATATTGGTCATTTGGAAAATACTGGTTCCTTGAGTTTTACAGATCTTCCAGGTGTTGATGCATGTCATTTTACAATATCATAAAGTCACTTTTTTTTAAAAGCTTTTATTGTGACTTGAGTGATGGTTTAAAAGAGAGAACATCAGTTTTGCACTCATCCTATTTTATTTTCTTTTGTTGCAATGATTAAAGTCCACTGTATTCATCATCATTTAACAGTATTTACTTTTATTCCTTGTTTTTTTTTTTTTTTTTTTGATGTACTCAAAAACACACTGGAATACATAATCATTAAAACAGCCAAAGGGCACATTCTGCAAGTCAACCTCCTGGCCACCAACACACAGCCTTTCTCTTTCCATGAGTCTAGAGTCCTCACCTGTGCTATCTCTCCTTGCCATCACCTCTGCCTCCATCTCTGGTGTCGCTGCTTCTCTGGTTAGGGTCCCATGTTCTGCTCATGTTCTTCTCTCTTGATACTTCCTTTATCAAATTTCTTTGTCTTCTGCTAGTCTAGTTCTGGTCATCAAGCCATTGAAGCTAGGTCAAATGTGTACTGTCTGCAAGTTCTTGTGCATCTTCCCCCCACTTCATATCAGCTGAACAACTTCACTCTCAGTTCTAGCCCACCATAGTTAGGTCAATGTCCATGGGCTTAGGAGCTCCCAAGTCTCCCCAAACATCAGACCAACCAGCCCTTCCTCTTCTCTGTGGTCGAACTTGGCTCATATCTTCCTTAATGATTTTCTTCTACTCCCACTTCCACTCACCAGTAGGCCAGTGTGCTCACCAGTGAGCTTAACATGCCTGCTCATGTGTTGTTCCCTTTGAGTTTCAGTCTTAGAGGGGGGTTGCCCTGAAGGGACTTGATTGCTTACCTTGATGGCTCCCTGAGCAGTTTGCTTTTTCTTGTAATAGCCAAACAGACTGCCCTTTTTGTTTTTTACTGCTAGTCTTTCTTTCAGGAGGTATATTCTATTCCTCTAGCCACTTGAACTGGGCTGGTCTGCATATCTTTCAAGTGGAAATGTCCTACCTCAAAGGTTCTGGATGGGGCTCAGGATTTCACCTAAGGTCCTATGCACTGCAAAGGCTCCACAAGAAGCCTATTTCACTGGTCAAGTTCTAGAACCCCTTTTGGGTATTCCAGTCAATTATAGGCAGAGTATGTAATCATGTTTCCTGATATTTCTTTCTGTCCCACTCAAGTGTCTGTTTTACAGTAGCTGGCAAGGGAAATCAATATCCATAAGACAGTCAATCATCTTAACATTATTTTCCCACTTTTACCCACTTAGACTATGTCTCAATCCCTGTATCATAGAGTCCTGTTGTTCAAGGTTGAGCATACATCACTATTTACCTCTGTCCTATTTAGCCTATGCATGCCTACCTAAGCATTCCCCAGTCTACCTTGTTCTTCTATCCTCCTCCTGCTTGTTGTGTGTTGCCTGCCTCTTCCTTGTACATTGCCCTCCTCAGCACCTGAACTGTGGTGTGTCTATCCTCTAACCTGTGCTCTGCTGTCCTCTTCCCACCCATGGTAACCAACAAAGAGTTTTTATTTTTTCACAAAATGTCACTTTTGTTAATGATTTTTGCCAGAAACATCTAAGTATTGTCAAGCTCTTAGTAACAGACAGAAGTTCTCCAAAAATCTGATTTTCATTGAGAAGCTTGAACTTTATCATTAGCCACAAATGAAATGGGTGCAGACATGGTAAATATTGTGAGGATGGCAGAGGACTGGGCAGGATGGAATTGATGGTACCTAACAACTGTGGATAGTTTTCCATTAAGTGATAGATTGACTTTATTAAAAAAAAAAAAAAAAAGCCAGATATTCAAGTCTTGAGAACATTGCTCATCCACATATTGTTTGTTTTCAAGTAAAATTGTTACTGCTTGAAAAAAGTTACTTTTCCTTAAGATGCCACCTATTTCAGTTGTCACAAAAGATACTTTAAAAATGTATACTCAGGTGTCCAAAGTAACTACCATAAAGTTTACTGCTTCATTTAGGAAACTGGTTTAGAAAAACAAGATTTTTCTCTCTTTGTTTCCAACTGCAAATGCATGGCAGGACAAAAATATAGTGACATATTGTAATTTGATGCTGTTGGCTTGCACGATTATGCTAAGACCACAAAAGTTTTATCCTGTATCAGGTTTTCACTATCAGTGCAAATAACGTAGTAGCATTATTTTGGAAATAGTTTTGACTTGGAGCCCACAGAAGTCCATGGACTACACTTTCACTGCTTTAGGCTAAGAAGTTGGCCTCTTGGGACTGAGAAGGCATTCCTTGTTTCAGTCATCTGCAGTAGAAGTCTTCAGAGTAGGACAGAACTGAGAAAGTGGGTCATAGTACATTTGTATTTAAATGTTAAAGAGGGCAGTTGTCAAGGAATTTTGAAAGATTTGTGCCTCCTAATAGTGACAGACTAGAACTTAGAACTAAGATGAGGTGAGGTCTCCATGCACTTGGCAAGGTACAGTGAAGCCCGTGAAAGGCGGAACTCAAAAGAACCACCTGGCTTTTCCAAGTCTTGAAAATTGTCCATGTTTGACAGGGTGAAGTCTTACTACTCTTCTATTTTTTGTTTTCGTTGAAAATATTTGAATTTTTCTTCTCTGACAGATTTTGCCTTACGTAGTTCCTGACTTTTATAGGTTTTGCTGCTTTAAAGGAAAGGGGTGCTTCTTGAGGCCCTTGTACCAGTAAACATTATTTATCAGAGGAAAAGAAAATCTTCAGGACAAAAATCTGGGCTCTGAGGTCTGACTGCTCCTCTCCTCTGTTTTCAGCCACTTAGGATCTGTGTTTCATTTATTAATCTAACTGGTAATTCCTTTTACAGGCATCATATGCCAGAACAAAATCTAGCAATTTCTATATCAAACTGTTCATAGAAATTTCTGCTAGGTAGGAGTATGTGTGATTTTTTTACTTATTAGCAAAGCTTTAGAAAGATTTTTAAATATTTTATTTTGAGAGAATATTACTTTTATTGGAAAATATAATTATTTTTATTCAAAAGGAAAAAAAAACAAAAGCCAAAAATCTCTACCAAGCTCATATAATAATATTTCACTCTTTGTTTTTAGAGAGTTGGCCATGGAGATAAGAACCATGCAGATCCAGACAGATCGCCTGTTTTTCTTCAGTTTATTGACTGTGTCTGGCAAATGACAAGACAGGTAACTTCTCTGTGACATTCACTCTTACAAATATATATCTCCTTCCTTCAGACTTTCCAGTTAGAGTTGAAAGACTTGGTCTTTATATTTCCCATAAAACAGAAATTCTTATAATGCATTCAGGTGATAGGAGTATTATTTATTAGTAAATTATGAACTCATTTGTTGGTTTTGTATGCTATACAGTCGATTTCTACTGTAGCAACCCTAGGAGAGAGTTGCTAAACTGTAATCTTTTTTCCCGGGGGGGGGGGAGGTGGATGGGTAGGTAGGAGTGGACTGAGGGTAGGGGGATGGGTTATGACTAGGTCCGGGCTAGGCGTAGGAGTTCATTTATTTTTAGGGTTATGGTTAGGACTAGGGTTAGTGTAAAGGGTACAAGTTGGGCTAAGATTAGGCGTAAAGCTTGATTTCATTTTTAGGCTTGCAAATTAGGCTTATTTTTTTCTTGAAAATTTGATTGATTTCCTCTTCATTTGAAAGTTCTGTAACTCTGTTATTCCTGTTTTTATTACTTTATAATTTTTTGTTGTTGTTACAACTGTTTATCTGGTGGATTAATGTTCCAGACTGCAAAGTCGTTTGAACTGCAAGGTCAGCAGTTCAAGCTCACCAGTTGCTCCTGGGTCGCTATGGGTTTGAATCGACTTAACAGCACTTAACAACAACATTTTCAGTCTTATAGGTCTGTTTTACTTTGTATACATCTGGGTTGGGATCCTGGTCTGGTGCTGTAAATAAGCACTGAACTTCTAACCCCACTACTCTTAGATTTTAGCTGCTCAAACTCACCAGCCACTCTCATAAACTGTATATAGGATTGCAATGAGTTGGAACCGGAGGCACACAACAACATATCTGATTGAGTCTAGGTGATACCGTTATGTATGTTAGTTTCAGGTTTGTTGTCTGCTGTTGTTGGTTCTCTGTCCAAAGAACTACCTTTAGTATTTTTTGTAAAGTTGGTCTGATTTTTAGAAATTCTTTTAATTTCTGTTTATCTGATAATGACCTAATTTCACCATCAAATTTGATAGAATGTTTTTCTGAATGTATAATTCTTGGTTGGCAGTTTGGTTTAGTGTTATATATGCTATTCCATTGTCTTCTTGCTATATGGTTTCTGCTAAGAAATCAGAGTTTAGTTTTATTAGTTCTCCTTTATAGATAACTTTTTGTTTTTCCTGAACTGCTCTCAGGATTCTTTCCTTGTATTTGGTTTTGAAAAGTTTGATTATAACATGTTTTGGTGTTTTTCTTTTGGGCTTATCCTACTTGAAGTTCTTTAGCTTCTTGAGTGACTTCTCATCTTTCTCGATGTTAAGGAAGTTTTCTTCCAACTACTCTTGCACAATATTCTCTATGGTTTTTTTTTTTTTTTTCTGTTCTGGTATTCCTATCACAGGCAAGTTATTCCTCTTGATAGTGTCCTACATAAATGTTAGGCTTTCTTTGAATTTTTTTTGTTCTTTTTTTTTCTGATTGTTCCTCTAGCAGATAGATATTGAGAGATGTTTTTTCAAACTCAGTAATTTGGCTTTCCATTGATTCAATAGTATTTCTTTGCTCTCTCAGTGTATTTTCTGTTTCTGTAGTTTTACTATTAATTTTCTGGCTTTCTAATTGCTATTTTTGTATGGCTCCAATTTTTTGCAGCTATTTTGTCACAGTTTGTTTACTGAATTTTTTTCATAGTTTTGTGTGTTTTCCTTGATTTCAGCTATAGTTTTCTCAATCTATCTCATAATCCATTGAAATTGCCTAATTTGCATTCTTTAAAATTCCCTGTCAGAAAATTCCAGTATTATTATTTTTTTTTTACTTTTATGTGCATTTTATTTTAAGTTAAATTTACTCCCGAGCCATAAGTTTTTGTTTCTTCAGTTTCTTCTGAGATATCTTTTTCTTCTGGGCAACCTCCTCTTCTGGTTTAGGAACAATTTGTTCCTTTTCAGTGAGGATCATCTCAATATGGCAGGGGGAGCTCATGTAGCGGTTGATCCGACCGTGAGCTCTGTAAGTTCGGCGACGCATCTTGGGAGCTTTGTTGACCTGGATATGCTCAATGACCAGAGAATCCACATCTAAACCCTTAAGTTCAGCATTGCTCTCTGCATATTTAAGCATGTGCAGCAAAAATTCAGCGCTCTTTTTGGGCCACCGACCCTGTGTCCAACCCCACTGTTTGGCCTGGGCACACCTACCAACGCCACCATTGTAACGTCGGAATGGTACACATTGCTTCTGCAAAGTGACATCTTTAAGATACTTGGTGGCTTTCCGGATATGCATACCCTTGATGGCCTGGGCAGTCTCACGGGTGTTCTTAAAATGGACCCGGAGATTTGAACCTCTGGATTTGCATGATTTTGTGGGGTTTTCTGGGTCAAGTGAGTAGCGAACCATTTTGTGAGATTACCTCGGGCCGCTTACGGGAAGAGCTCCAGTATTATTTATGGTGTTAGATTTTCTGGCTCTGTATTTTGGTCACTTATTTGATGAACTCTGTTTTGGTTCTTTGTGTAAACTGAAATTATCTGTGTTCTGAGAAAGATTGTGTTGTCATATGTATATTTAACTGATTACTGTATATGGATATGTGATCAGGCACTTACTACCTGTCTCCTGGGGAATATGGGAGAGACCAGAAGTGTGAACACAGTTAGTTCCCTGTTTAGTGTATGCAGTTCAGAGCAGGTTCATATGCCTCCAGAAGCAGGAGTATTGTGCCAGGTGCCTAACCCCAGGCAGAGCAGGGGTGTGAAGGAGGGGGTGTCACTGACTGTTGGGTTGGTGAGGGCTAGGACTGGCCATGCTCCCAGCTACCAGGGGAGCATGAGACAGGGGAGAATTGCACCCTCTTTCTGTCAATCTCCAGCTGTATCCTGTGCCTGTAGGTCACTGTATCTATAGCTGCTTGCAAATAGCTCAAGGCGGCTGTACCACACCAACGTACAATCCACCTGTTTTTCTTCTCTCTCATTGTTGCTGTTCAGCTTCCTCTTCTAGTTGGCACTCAGTCCACCTTTCTGTCCTGTCCTCTGAGGCTTAGAGTTCCAAGATCACTCTGTCTCCCATGTCTTCATTGCAGAGGTCAACTCAAGTGCTCTACCATCTTGCCCATGTCTCCAAGCTGTAATCTTTATAAGAGCACACTGACAGATCTTTTCTCCTGTAGTTGCTGATTCAGAACCACCGATCTTTTGAACAAACATTTGATAATTTGATTTTACTAGTATTTCAGTGTGAGTGGCATTGATAATAGTCCCTGAGAGATTTCCTCCTTTGCTTTTGAACAATTGGTATTAAATAGTAGCAGTGTATTCACCAAGAAGCTCATCCGTATGATGTGAAAGTGGTAAACAAGTGAACAAATAGCCAAGGTAAATCAAGTAAAAAAATCCTGTTGTAAGGATTTCATTATTCTGGGGGAAAATGTATCTTTTAGATGGAAGTTAGGATAAAGTAGGTAGTAACAGAATCCTGGTGTGACGCAGTAGGTTAATTCACTGTATTGCAAAGTCGACTTGAACCACAAGGTCAGTGGTTCACGCTCACCACCTGCTCCAGCTAAACCCCTTACAGTGTCATTATGGGTTAGAGCCAACTCAGCACTTGATAGCAACAATAACACGTATATAACAGATTCAGTTCTTGTTCTTAGGATTCTTAGGAAGGTCCTCAATGAGATGGATTGGCACTGTGGCAGCATCAATGGGCTCAAGTGTAGCAACGATTGTGAAGCTGGCCCAGGACCAAGCACTGTTTTGTTCTGTTGTGTATAGGGTCACTATGAGTCATGTCAACTTGATGATGTCTAACAACCACAATTACAGGTCTTTGCACATTTCATTATAATATTTTTTCTTCTCAAGCTGCCCTTTGAATATTTCTTTGCAACTCTTTTACTTTCTCATTCCTTCCATTTGCTTTTACATCTCTACACTGGAGAGCAAGTGTCAGAGTCTCCTCGGATACCCATTTTGATCTTTTCCTTTTTTTTAAAATCTTCTTAATGACCTTTTTAAAAATTCCTTTATGATATTCTTGATATCATTCCACAACTCCTTGACTATATATATGCCACCAGAGCTTCTTATATATTTGTTGTTTTTGTTGTATGCCATTGAGTTGGTTGTAGCTCCTAATGACCATGTATAGGCTTTCCAAGAGCAGCTGATAGGTTTTAGCTGCTGACCTTTGTGGGTACTAGGTCAGTACTTATCTTACAGTACTAGTGTCAGGGTCCTTAAATGTGTGCGGTGTGTATAGGTAGTATATATGTTTGTATGTATGTACAGGGAACATGGTAGATCTGTAGGATAAGCCCTGGACTGTGAACCCAAGATCTCTGGTTTGAGCTCACCAGCAGCTCTGAGGGAGAAATATGTGGTTTCCGCTCTTGCAAAGATTTACAGCCTCAAAAACAATATTATTACAGGGTCACTGAATCCGATCTGACCTACATGTTTTAGACTTACAATATGTTTTTGTTGTTAAGAGACTCAACAGCATATATAACAGCATGTATATACACGCACATACATAAATGTATACATTTACACAATTTTATTATTATGAACCAACTCTTCAAAAAATATATACACACACACATACATATATGTATTGTTGTTGTGTTGTGAAATCCAATCGAGTCGGTTCCGGCCCATAGCGACCCTGTATAGGGTTTCCAGTGAGTGGTTGGTGAGCTTGAACTGCCGACCTTGTAGTTCAAATGGCTTTGCAGTCTGGTGTATTAACCCACAGCGCCACACCAGGACTCCACATATAGGTATACATACATACAATTTTATTATTATGAACTAACTCCTCAAAAATATATACATATATGCATGTGTGTGTGTAAATTGTATGTATACATATATGCATGTGTGCGTATATATATGCTGTTATATATGCTGTTGAGTCTCTTAACAACAAAAACATATTGTAGGTCTAAAATATGTAGGTCAAATCGGATTCATAGTGACCCTATAATA